TATTATCCATTTAATCATCCAAACGATGGCAATAGATAATAATAACAATAATGTTAGCTCTACATTATTATTCCAATTCTGAAAGCGTCCGTGCCGCTTTGAGACACGTTGTATCAAGTTGGTGGAGTCAGGAAGATGATCCTGTTTATTCCAAGGACCTTATCAAAGAGTTCGAACTTGAAAATCCACCCCTTGAAGATGAACTTGCTTGGATTCTTTCCAAAGGTGCGATCATCATGATATCTTCTTCTCTGATGTATTAATGGTGATTCCTTTATGATTCTTTGCGACGTTTACATGTTTTCTAATATAATAAAATGAAGTGTTTTTGTATTAACGTTATTGTATTTTTTCGTTTGTTTGTTTGTTCATAATTTATAGAAGAAGACGAGTCGCAGATATTCGTCAAGTTTTTCAAGTTTCACAAGTGTTACGATTTAATACCGACCAGTGCTAAATTAGTTGTATTCGACACACATCTTCTTGTGAAAAAAGCTTTCTTTGCTCTTGTATACAATGGTGAGCGATTGAAACATGATATAATGTTTATTTACATGTTGAATGTATATTGAATTTTATTTTTAATTACTTTTTAGGAGTGAGAGCTGCACCCTTGTGGGATAGTGCAAGGCAAGAATTTGTTGGCATGTTGACTATAACAGATTTTATAAAAATTCTTCAAATGTATTATACAAGTCCGTCTGTTACAATGGATGAGTTGGAGGAACACGAATTGGATACTTGGAGAAGTAAATATTCTTTACTTGGAGAAGTAAATATTCTTTTTCTTATGTTACTTATATTAATTATATTTTATTAATTCAGAGGTATTAAAGGATCAAGTTCATCCATTGGTTAGCATCGCTCCTGACGCATCTTTGTATGAAGCTATCAGAACTTTAATACAAAACAGGATTCATCGTTTGCCAGTTATTGATCCCGATACTGGCAATGTGCTTTATATTTTAACACATAAACGAATATTAAGGTTTTTGTTCCTTTATGTAAGTTGTAACAATGAAAACTTACATATTTAATTGAGACTGAATATATGACATTTAATGAAATTTAATTTATTAATGAATCGTTTTTAATTCACAGATTCATGAATTACCAAAACCATCCTTTACTAATAAAACGCTTAGAGAACTTAGGATAGGAACTTTTAATGATATAGAAACTGCTACGGAAGAAACTAGCATAATTTTAGCTCTCAAGAAATTTGTTGAAAGGAGGGTGTCTGCATTACCAGTCATCGATGCAGAAGGAAAACTAGTTAATATTTATTCCAAGTTCGATGTTATCGTAAGTTATTTCTTTGATTAATTTATTTTTAATTATCTTACTCTTAAATAATCACAATTTATTTATTCCTTTTTCTTCTTCTATACAGAACCTAGCAGCTGAAAAAACATATAATAATTTAGACGTATCTTTGCGAGCTGCTAATGAACACAGGAACGAATGGTTTGAAGGTGTTCAAAGTTGTAAATTAGACGAGACGTTGTTTATTGTTATGGAAAGAATTGTGAGAGCAGAGGTAATTAAAGAAAAAAAATAATATTAATGATAAAGAAAGAATATAAGTAAATGTGCAATTTTTCTTATCAAATCATTTCATATCTTTTTAGGTTCACCGACTTGTAGTGATAGACGACGATGATAAAGTAATTGGTATAATTTCTCTATCTGACCTCTTATATTATTTGGTTCTCAGGCCTTGCGGTAAGTAGAATTTGTTTATTTGCTTTATCACTAACAGTTTGATCTTTATTCGAAAACTTTTAACAAAATAATTAGTTGTCTACTTATATAAATGTAAACATTTATGAACAATTAACGATCTTATTATAGGTGAGGATAGTATCAGTACTAAAGATGGTTCATCGTTGAGAACACAAGAATCAGTAACATCCAAAGTTACAGATTCTCAGGCTGAAACAACTACGAGCGTTGATGGCGAACCTGAAACGGAACAAAATGAAACAGGGAATAGTAACTCGAGAGACGGGCCCTCAACACCTACACCACCTTCCAGTCCAGCAGCTTTAGATATTACTGAGCCTTCGTCGACTATCGTTAAACCATCACAAGAGCCTTCTTGGCGAGAAGTAACCGTATCAGGGGGAGAATGAAACATCTAATAATTCACTGTAACAGTGAAAATGTGTGAAGCATATAGGTATTATTGCTTCAATCGTAGAACATTGTCTTATTGCATCATGACAAAGAAGAATATAAGGGAAAGAATTGAATCGTATAAATTTATTATCGCGTATAACAGAGAAAAAGGGAGATAGAGAGAAAGAAAAGGACATGATGTTATATATAGAGTACTTTTATTAGCGCTCATGTTTTTTTAGCTCGTGAATATACAATATTGATCGTTGTTGTCCTTGTGGTTAAAATTTGTAAGTTTAAAAAACAGAAGATAAAACACCAGTCAAGAATCACGACCTACGTGGACCTATCACTATAAATGTGTGAAGATATATATACAGTGAGAAGACATGCTCTTACAATGTATAAAAATATTTAAGAATAAGTTTTCTAACGTTGCAATCTTCTGTAACAGAGAGATTTTAAAGTTCGAGCTTGTCGTTAAAGAAAAAATGGTTAATAATGAGCCATTGTTTGCGCTCAGGATATGAATTCTCCGTGCCCTTTTAAAAAGTCATTACTAGGGATGTTTTACAAGCATTGTGATAAAACGAGTAGTGAAATAAGCCATACTTAGCATCTATACTTTATTTCGCTTTTTCTTAAACTTTATATTCTTTCGCAAGAAGAGAAAAAGAAAGATTATTCAAATTTCTTTTTTAATTTCTTATTCTATCAAAAGCTTCTATAATAAATGCCAGAAGCTAATTAATATCAATAAGTATATAATAACATTAAACGAACATGGGCGTTCGCTTTTAAGACGCTTATTGTCATTGATTGAATTATTAAAGCTAACAATTTTATAGGTTTATGATCAGTTTTTTAAACAATCTAATTGAATAGGCAATAACGACATATTGTGTAACGCGTAATGCTATAAAAAAAAAAAATGAAAAGATATATTGCCAGCAAATGATATAAAAATTTGTAGTTTTTATTGGCCGGTAAAATTGATTTGAATTATAACGAGAGAGGCTTCATGTTCGTTATGGAACATATTTGCAAGAATCGAGAGTCACAGTCGACTAAGTATATTATATGAACTTAAAAAAAAACAACGCAAAAGATAGTAAAAAGAATTTAAGCACCAACGCCGAAAATCATTCTCTTATAACTGTATTAAAAAGAAAAGTATACATTGTAATTTATTTTTATTTTTATTATTATTATTATTATTATTATTAACTTTTATTATAATTATAATTATAATTATAATTATAATTATCTTCGTATTGCCACTGCTTCTTCGAATTACCTTGTATGTATTTTATAAATTAATAGGAAATTTCTTTTATTATTATTAATAATATTATTATATATATATGCATATATATATACACATATACACAGCGACCTCTACTTGCTTATAATTATTTTTTTTTTAATATAAAAACAAAAAAAGTAACACAAAAGTATATAATAAGAGTACAGTGATAATATGTAAACATAATTTTGAAATGATGTCTGACCAATATGATTTTTTTTCCCTTGCGATTTATTTTCTTTTTTAATTCGCACACATGTTGACCATATTTATCGTACAGTTTTTTAAGAATTATTGATAATCATTGATTTGCTTCATTAATGGTACTTTTAATATTTAATATACTCTAAATACCGGGACGTATGAGAAACACAAAATTAACTTGAGTTTGATTATTATTTTTATTGTTATATTGTTTCTTTTTTATGGTTTGGCTTCATGACAAAATTTTTTGCTTCTGTTACACAACCAAAACACAAACACCTAATTCTGTGAAATATTAATAAAATCAATTATCTCCTTCAAAACATTTACCTCTAATAAGACAAAATGAATAGTGTTCTAAATATTAAAAAAATCTTATTATAGATGAAGAATTCTCTTGAAATAAAAATACGTACGTAGAGATCTTGTTGAATTAAATTCTAGGCACACATATTATTATAGATACTAACACAACGCATTAAAAAAAAATGAAATTTGTTAAATGTACTAATATATACTAAGAGAAAAAAAGAAAGGGAAAGAAATAAAAATCTTGTCAACGATTAATTTTGTGAGAAACAAAAATGTATTCTTTTGGAAAAGGCATTGTTTTCATTTCAATTAATCTATAGTATAAAAGCAAACGCAAAAATAATAAAAAAAGAAGCTAAATAATAATTGTACGTAGAGAGAGCCTTCTATCGAAAAAAAGAACATTTGTACATATGCGTAAAACACTTAAAAAAAAGGGAAAAAGAAAAGAATCATGTATATAAATGGCCTGTTTGTTAATATTCATTTCTATTTTTGGCACTAACGTTCCTCTTTTTATCTATTTAAAATAATGGTAAAAGAAGTCGCTATAATTGATAGTGAAGAGCCAGTGCCTATAATTTAGTGAAATTATATTCCTGTATATGTTTATCCATGTAAGATTAAATATTCCATTGATAATAACAGCAACAACAACAGTAATTTGAAAAAGAAGAAAATTTGAGTGATAGAGAGAGAGAAAAATAGAGCAATTAAAATTGAAATATTGCGATAAAAATTATGAGAGAATGGATTGATGATAACGATAATGATGGAGTTTTTTGTACATGAGAAACAAACTATACATCCGCGTAGTTTTAAACGTGCCGTAGTAGTTAATCTAAATCTCTTTAGTACAAAATATATACTACTGCAAATTTGCAAGCAGTCACGTTCGCGCTTTCCTTAAACAAACTTCTATATATGAAATAAAAATATAATTAGAAAGAACGAGCGAAAGTGAGAGAGAGAGAGAGAGAGAGAGAGAGAGAGAGAGAGAGAGAGAGAGAAAAAAAGAGAAAGAGATTGATTCGCATACATATTATATTATATTGTATCATAATTTTTTAAAATTCGCTGTAATATTTTACTTGGACAAGCGAGAAGCAACAAATTTATATTATGGAAAAATGAAAAGAAAAGAAATTAGATCTAATTCGGTAAGAAAAACATTAAAAATAAATGAAAATGAAGATTTTGGACGTGGCAGTACTTGCATTGCAAAAAAAACCAAAATATAATTTATTGAGATATTAATAATGAATTGTATGATACACCACAAAAAAAGAACCTTGTGTTGTAGTTAGTTACCGTGATTGCATCTTAAAATATTATGTAACCTGAGCAAAGTGATTAGCGCATGATCCTTGGCTCTCTCACACACATGTAACTTATAAAATGCAAAAAGTGCTCAGCGATAGAATATACTATGATATATATATAATATTTATATCGTTTACTTTTATTCTTATCTAAATTTCCAATCCTTGTAAATTAACATTTACGAAAAATGAGGAAACGTATTTATGATGTATGAAAGTGCATTTAGTTTCAATAACTTTTGACGATTATATACAATTTGTTATTTATTACTGTGGATATCAACTTTTTATTCTTTTCTTTAATTTTTTACTATTTATAATAGTACTTGAAGATTCCAATATCCTAGACGTTTTGGACTCCTCCTATAAAAGTAAATATTAACAAATTAAATATGTAAGAACTTTCAGAAACATTTGTATAAATAATAATAATAATGTTAAAAATACATACAGGACGAGGAACACCATGAATACCCTATACATATAATAATAGAAAATTACTTACTGGGTGATTTATGGAAGAAGCACTTTTAGAACGTTTCTTTCCTTTGTAACACAAATTTGTTGTTTTATTCTGTTTAGATGTAATAACTTCCATTTTATTAAATAATGCATCGTATTCTGCATCGCCATTTAAATCCTCTGATTTATTATCTAAATAGATAACTTCGTTGTCATTGTTATTAATGCCATTATTATTTTGAACTTTATCAGAATTGTCGATCTGTGTTTCTGGAGAAAATGTTGATCTCAATACTAAACATGTTAATTTTGAAGTCAGATAAACCTATAAGAACAAAATAATATTTAACACAGAATAATGTATGTCGATATACACTCATAATATCTTTACATTTATTTATATTCATGAAATTACCTTTTTAAGCATTTGTCTTGTGTCAATATGATGCACTCTCAAATATCTGTCCATAGAAGTGCTAACTACGTATGGTCCAGCTTTACTAGAAGCTAATCCAGTTATGCTACCAACCAGGCCCTTATACGTATGAAGTATCTTTCCAGGTTTACGTAAATCAATAAGTTTCATCATTCCTTTACCTGACCCTACCATGACTTGCCTATGGTATATATATAATGTGTAAATATATTTTTATATTATAAAATAATATAATATAATTTTATGTATATATATGTTTATCTATTATACAAATTCTTACATTTCTTTATAAGGTACAGTCACAGCGGTCAGGGGTTCATCTTTTATTTCTAAATTAAAAACTGGTCTCCTTTGCGCGTCAGGATCATACAAACGTATCTAAAATATATTTTATAAATTTATACAAGTATTTAACTTAGATCAAGAAATATTCATAGAAACTAAAAAGTCATACATGTCCAAATCTGCTAACAGTGACTACTCTATGCGAGTCGTGAAGAAAAGCAATGTCTGAAATCCAAATAGGTACTCTCAGGTTTAAGAAATCATGCGGTATATTCTTTTCATGAAAAATTTGTTTTTTTTTCTCCAAATCAAACAATTTTAATCCATTTTCTTTGCCACCGGTTGCTATTATATTCTTATTTATATTAGAATGACGCATTCTATGTAAATTATCACCGGCATTTAATATTACTTTGTCTTGATTGTTAAAATTCCATATTTTTATTTCGCCAGAATGAATTGCAGTCAAAATTGACCTAATAAATATTGAATACGTATTCGATAATTCAAAGATGGTTTTTGTAATAAGAACATAATAAGAGTATTATAAAAATAATCATAATTATTTACCCATTATAATTTGATATGCTATTTATACTTCCTTTGCCAACATCGCAAACAAATGTGCTTTTAAATGACATGTTTTCGGTATCATAAATGCTAACACTATAACATATTAAACATGTTTATTAGTGTCACTTAAAAAAAGGATAATTTTTTTAATGTAATGTATTTAATACCTTCTTGTTTCTTTTGTACCATAAGCTATGAGTATATCTCGTTCTTCGTCATCACCCCAATTCGCTGTTGTAATCTCATCATTATAACCAATTGATATAAAACTTTTTAAATTTTTCTGCACACATTCCTTCTGTCCAATTTTAATTCCTACAACGAATTCATTTTATATTTTAAAAACAATGTAATTGAAAAGAATAATTTTTAATTTCATTAGAAGTATTGCATTAAAATTAACCTTTGAATACTCCTGATTTGCCACCCACAAAAATGTCAAAATCATCTTTATAATTCATACTTAACTATTAATAATTATACAATACTACTAAGTATTTTTAAAATAATTATTAACTAGGTTAGAATAACCACGTGAAAAATTACAAATAGCACGAACTGACATACAGGCTAGCCAAACTTTTATTTCATTTTTAAAATTTTTATGTTGTTAGCATTGTATAGATTTGGAATGTTTTTATTTTAAGCGTTAATAAATTTCAAAATTGTAATTTGTCAGAAACAATATGCACGCGTTTTAGCCAATTCAATTTTAGCGATGATAATTCGAGGGTTGTGATTGGTCATAAAGAATATATATACGTTTCAACTAATCCAGTCTCAGATGAGTCTTTGCGGTAATGATTTGAAAATCGTGATTGGTCAAAAGGAAAGTATATTATTTCTAACAGGTTATCCAAATTACAAAATGAAGATGAAGTGTTAGCGCCATCTACGCCATCTTAAATAAAAGAGTTTCGAATGTCTTTCTTTCCAGCTTGCGTTCGCCATTAATTGTCGTTATAGAGGTTAGTAGTAGAAGATAATAATTTAATATTTTATTATATCGACGTATATATATATATATATATATTAATAATATTTATGCGGAAAATAAAATATCTTTTTTTTTGCATATTACATTGTACATATTTTTATTAGAAATATCGAAATGCAGATAATCCGTCGACTTTTAAAAAGTGACCACGTGTTTTGACGAAACTTGTAATAGCGAAAATTTATGAAAAACTTTTAATGTAATATTTTTATCGTTTAAAGCTTTATATGTTAATTATTGCTTATAATCGTTTATGGTACTTCGTATAAAAGTATAATTCAGTCATGTGAAAAGTGTTATGTTGAATATGAAACAGCTGCATTTTGTAACATGCAAGAGAATTTTTCTTTATATATATAATAATTATGAAACATTTTTTCAGTCTTAAACCATGACTAATTCAAAAGGTTATCGTCGTGGTACTCGGGATTTGTTTTCCCGCAAATTCCGTAAACATGGAACTATTCCTCTGTCGACGTACATGAAAGTCTATAAAGTTGGTGACATAGTTGATATCAAGGGTAACGGAGCAGTTCAGAAGGGTATGCCATACAAAGTTTATCATGGCAAGACAGGACGCGTATTCAATGTAACACCTCATGCACTTGGAGTTATTGTTAACAAGAGGGTACGTGGACGCATCATTGCCAAGCGTATCAATGTACGCATTGAACATCTTACTCATTCCAAATGTAGAGAAGATTTCCTTAAACGTGTTAAGGAAAACGAAAGGCTTAGGAAAGAAGCCAAAGAAAACAAAGTCCAAGTTCAACTTAAAAGACAACCAGCCGAACCATCAAAAGCTCATATTGTTTCAGGACGCGAGGCACCCATCTTATTAGCACCTATTCCTTATGAATTTATTGCTTAAGTGTTGCAATAAATATCTTTTAAAGTACTAATTATCTTTATTGTTTTATACTCCTTATAGATATAATTTATTTTTTCTATTCTAATTTCAATAGAAATTTGCACATTGCAAATATATGACATTAACAGCGAATGGGTTCATACGAATGAATAAATTCAACAATTTATGCTCATAAAGTTCTTTAATTCTCACTTATATTTAATATAAGATTAGTTAATACTTCTTCTCAGATAACATAGTATAATAACATTCATATAACAAATAATAAACGTTTCTTTGCTTTTTCTTTTCTTTTTTTTTTTCTTGTTTACTTAGGAAACCAATTCTTAGATTAAATAATTAAGCGTTGGAATTTTTGTTTTAATAAAAAAGAAGAAAGATTCATATACATAATTAAATTTAAAAGATAAAATCTTTCTCTCTCTTTTTTGCGACTGTACAATTAGAACGTTGTAGAAATTAATTTAGAGAGTTATATTAATTTTAAATGATAATGACTATTTTTAACATAGTTTAAATTCTTTTTTTTTCTTATGTTGAATAATTTTTAACTACAATCCCTTGATTGATAAAACAAAATATATCCAGTTTCTGAACTCTTTTGTATATCTGATGTGAGCCCATAGAAATCCTCTATAGTTGATGCATCAATTTTCTGAAAAATAATATCAAACTAACAACATTATTTCCCTTTCTTTTTTTACTAAAATATTTAAGATATCAAAATAATTTTTGCGTATAAATGTACATCTTACATCAACCATGTCATCATCAAAAAGCAGCCAAAATCCATGACTTTTGACTATAGAAATATAGTGGCCTCTGTTCGGACCACTTCCACAATGTATCACAACCGCAACTAAATCATACAAGCGATCAGGATTGACAGCATCATCGCTCTGCAACAAAATAAATTTTGTTTTTATAAAATATTCATAGATAGAGAAAAGTAGTACGTATAACAAATTCTTGGTAATATTTACAGTGTTAAAAAGCCGCAATTCCAATGGAAAAACTACCCTGTGAGATACTTTAATATGTCGGTTATACTGTTCCACGTATTTAAATCTTTTCAAATGTAATGCTAAGATCATGGGAAGTTTCTTAACTCTCATTCGTTTCTAAAGGACAAAGCAACAAATAATATATTAATTTAATTGAATAATTTCAAAATTTTGATCAATGATTATCTAATTTAATATAAAAAACTTTTTTAAATGATAAAAAAATATTAGATCAAAAGTATACCTGAGCTTCCTGATAGCTACTACAATGATCACATTTAAATTTATTATCGCTACAAAGTGTTTCTGTATTAGAAAAGCAGCGCAGGCAGTATGTTATAGAAGTATTTTGGTCTACGTCAACTTGCAGATCAAAAAAATCCTCATCTTTGCTAGAAACAGTCTCACAATTAAGGCAGCGTGTTTCAGAAGTCAATATCCCTTGAAATATCTCATGGACCCATGTTGGTTCTGGTGGAGATCCAGCATCGCCCGCACCCTTTCCTCCTGTTTGTTTGGTTTGACTTCTTTCTGCTAAAAATAAGAAGTAAATATAAATATATTTTACAAAGGAAAGAAAATTATATTTGAAATATTTACCCAGAATAATTTCATTTATATGATTAATAAGAAAGTTTAAAAATTCGTGGGCATCTTGTTGCATATAATTATCAAATTCCTCTGAAAAAAAGAAAGTAATAATTTTAATAATTAATTTAGTCTTACATGAAATGAAAAGATAAAACAACAAACCTTTTTCTTTTCTTAACCTAGCGATAAATTTTTTAGGGGCGATGGAACCAACTTTTTTCTTTTGCGTTGCAATATTATGAAATAGATCAGCTAAACATGTTAACAATGTCTCCTTGGTTCTCTTATTTCTAGCTTTGTATTCTAAAACTTTTTCTCTAAACGGCCTGCAGAAATATAAAGCTTGCAATACCGAATTACTGTAGCAAGTATTACCGAACTAGAAAGAAATAATTTTTATAATTAATTGATACATTAAGAAATGTATTGGCAACGATATTGAAATTTTATTAGGATAACTTTTACTTACATTAACTAAACCAAAATAATGTTCATTTGGTGGAAACTGATCAGAGCCGATATCTCTTTCTAATTGTGATATGTTTGCACCCTAAAACAACATTTTACATAAATAAATATCAAACAAGTAATATAACGACAGAAATAATTAAAATAATAACAAATAATATAATTAGAAGTAGTGGAACAAGCGATATGAAAAATCTTAACTGTCACTAGCTTTCCAAATATTTACACTGCTATCTAAGCAGCATAAATTCTATTATACATAGAGATTAAAGATTAAAAAGAATTGACATAGAACGGAAGGTAAATTTAATTAACGTAACAATTTGATTAATGTAACAATTAAATAAGAAATTCAAGTAAAATAATGTAAAACAGAAAAGACAAATTTTGTTATCAGTTTAATAGTATACATATCCTTTGAACTGATATTAAATTGACACTTACCATTTTATGATTTTCTATCCCCAATTGTATATCGAATATTTAAGAGAAAATTCATCAAGGATATAAACTCCATCTTAATGAAATTTAATGATTCATTACCTAAAATCGTCGATTAATCTAAATATGTCAATAAAAGTTAGCAGAATTTTATACTCAAAGGTTTCTTCTAAGAAAAGACTAAGTTGCGCATTTACTTTAGCACACATATATATGTGTGCGTGTGGCGTGTATTATATGTATATGGTACCATCTATATGAATAAGAGAGAAGTTATCTTCAAATAGAAACAAAAATAAATGTGTGATTGGGTCTTTAAATTTTCTGTTAAAAAAAAATAAAAGCAAATACCTTTGTAATGCAATATAATTTCATTATATTCATTCATTACACAGATTTGAATTACTATAATTTCATACAAACATGGAATTTATGAATTAGTCTAACTTTAGAAAAAAAATGTAACTCTCTGATTCATTAAAATTTTCAATATTCAAACCTTTGATTGAGAAAATTGTATTGTTGTATATTATTGACTGTACACACAATGATTGATTATTATTTAATTTATATTTTTAATGTAACAGTACTGGTTTTTAAAGATCAGCATTAACGATTGGTTCTTTTTTGATTAAATGTCATATAGTAATTTAAATATGGCGGCTAGGAAGTTTGGCAACCCGCTAAATTTTAAAATACAAATTTCCCTAGCGTTTGATAAGGAAATTTGTTATTTTAATTGATAATATGAAATTTGCTTTGTAGTGTCAAAATGGTAAATGTTCTTAATGATTCTGACAGCGAGGACGAATTACCTCCTGGGTGGGAAGAAAGAGCTACTATTGATGGAAACGTTTATTATGTCAAGTAAATATTTGTGGTTTATTATTAATATTATTTTGTAATACTAACACTTTTATGGTTAGTTCATTAATTTCATACATTTTAATTATCATTCAAAATAATTACTGTTTTTTATAGTCATTACACAAAAGGTACACAGTGGACGCATCCTAGAACTGAACGCAAGAAAATCGTAGAAGGAGGTATTTATTATAGTTAATATTATACAGATTTAAATTCATTCATTTTAAGTAATAACAAATTAATGTATTATTACTTTTTTTTTAGAATTACCTTCTGGATGGGAAAGATGTATTTCTGACGATGGTAAAGTTCTCTTCATTGATCACATGAATCGTACTACTACTTACACCGATCCTCGATTAGCTTTTGCCACCGAATATAGGGAAAGTTCACAACCAGTACGACAAAGATTCGATGGAAGTAGTACAGCCCTTTCTGTTTTATACGGTCGTGATTTACGTAATAAATTAGCACTTATCACTGGTGCTAATACGGGAATAGGTAATTAATGTATATTTATAAATATATTTGTTATTTTATTTTTGTTTATATATGAAATAGTAAACATTCATTAATTTTTAGGTTTTGAAACTGCTAGATCATTAGCTTTACATGGCTGTCATGTTATACTTGCCTGTAGAAATGTTAAGGCGGGCGAAGAGGCAGTGAAAAAAATCAAACAAGAAAAAGAAAATGTTAATTGTGAAGTCTTAGAATTAGATTTAGGATCGTTGCAAAGTGTACGTAATGCCGCAGAAAAGTTCAAACAAAAATATAGGTAATAATTTATTAAATAAATGTATAAATTTTATAATATTATTTTAATTAATATAACATTTTTAGAACTCTTCATATTTTAATATTGAATGCCGGTGTATTTGGGATTCCATACGAACTTACAAAAGATGGTTATGAAAGAACATTCCAAGTTAATCATCTTTCACAATTTTATTTTACACTTTTCTTGGAGCATCCGATTCGTAGTTGTTACAATGCAAGAATAGTAATTGTTTCCAGTGAATCACATAGGTAATTTTGATAGATTAATTACGTTCGAATTTTTTTTTTAAATAATTATTATTATTAACTCATAGATTTTCTTCTATACAACACGTCGAAGATATTCATCCTTTAACTTTATCCCCACCTAAATATCATTATTGGTCAATGAGTGCGTACAACGATTCTAAACTTTATAATATATTATTTGCTCAAGAATTATCTAAGCAATGGCCCGCAGTAAGTGTATTCAGTTGTCATCCTGGTAATATGGTTTCTTCATCTCTATCTCGTTATTCGTGGATATTCCGACTATTATTTGCCATAGTGAGACCTTTCACCAAATCACTGGTATATTCACAATTTTTTATTGAATCAAAGAGATTGCTAATTGAAGTAGATTACATATTAATTCATACATTTTTTGTTTTTTTTTACATTTTGTTTTTGTTTTTGATTTAGCAACAAGCAGCAAGCACAACAATATTTTGTGCAACTGCACCAGAATTGGAAGGAGCGACGGGACTTTATTTTAATAATTGTTATCGTTGCGATCCTTCGACTGCAGCAATAGATTCCGCATTGGCAAGCAGACTATGGTCCGTTTCTCAAGATTTAATTATAAATGTTATGAAAAAAGATAAACTTTGGGAAGCATTAACTTTGAAATAATTTGGTAAAAAATGGGAAGAGTATATATAGTTTCTTTTATACATATATATATGTATATTTCAAATGATTTAATATAAGGTCTAAGGTGTTTTTATAATCATAAAATATACAATATTTTAACTAGCATAAAATTCTTTCAAATATTCCGCCTTTGGCTTGAGAATTACTTTATCCACAAGACTAATAACCCAACCTGGTTCAAGGCCATAAAATAATTGTCGTGGATCTTTACGTTCGGTCAACATTTTGTAGTCTGGATCATCTTCAATTTTTGGAAGTACGTAACCATATTTTTGCGATAATATTAAACGTTCTTGAGAAATTTTTTCAGGATCCGCCAAATATCCTCTTGTTGCAGCACTCGAATAATATTCTAAACAATCCGCAGGTGGTAATAATCTACGTGGTATTGGATCGCCTATAAATTAAGTAAATATCTTATTATTAAATAATATTATTAAAATAATATATGTATATATATATATAAGTAAAAAATATATGTTTTTGATTTTTTATATTATATATGAAGCTATATAGCCATAAAAAGAAAAAGAAAATTAAACAATCAAAAACAACTATACCTCTGCGAAGGAACTTTTCAGTATCGTTTAAAGCGAATAAACAATTTGGATCATAATAAGCTGTAGTGATAACGCCACCATTTCTTTCAATTGCTGCAATCACAGGTTCGCTAGCCCACTGCACTTCTATGTTGACTTTTGCCTTGAATATATTTGAGCCCTTAAAAAAGTACGTTTTTTAATATTTCTCTCCTTCAAACAGTAATAATTTTTCTGAACATGTTAAGTTAGTTACTAGTGACTGACAGTATACTTTTCATTCAGGCCACGTAAGTAAAGGAGACTCTGTGCTTAACATGTTAATATAATAAATTTGATTACCTCATCCGTTAAATGTACTCCAGCATGTTTCCAATCAATTTTAAAGTTATATAATCCTGTATTTATTATAGTTGCCAGGTCGATTGGTTTACTAGAATCTATCCTATTAGTATCTACGAACATTTGTAGCTCTTTCAAAGAAAGTGGTGGATATTGTCTTCTTAAGCTGTAACCACAAACAAATGCATAATTCTCTTTCTTCTAAATATATAATTACCAATTAAAATAAATCTTAACGCATTCATTATTAATGTCACATTTTTGTGATACACTAATTTTCATTGAGATGTGTTATACATGTTATACATTTGGGACAATAATCAACATCGTACTTACTGATGTCCTTTATAATAAGGCTCTTTTGGAAATCTAAGATAAAATGGAGTATTCCCAGTTTCAAATCCAGGTCTCATATAATTTTGTCTTTGACCGGAACCTTTGTTTCCTGCACCATGTTTATCTCCTCCGTGTTGACCCCTACCTCTTTTTGACTAAACATAATATAAATAAATTAAAACTAATATATTATTTCATATATTTCAACAATCACATAATATACAATTTTCAAGGTTATATAAACTAGTCATTTATATTTAACATATGTTTGATTTTAATAATAACAAAAATAATATTTAAAATCGTAAAACTATTACTTTTATTAAATTGATTATAGATAGTAATATATATAAATATTAAATTAAAATAACAAAACATTTCTCTCTCTTACAGGCTTTTTTGAACCGGGGTTAGGTCGAAGATTTGACAATTCTACTCGAGGTAAACTTCTTAGCATAGATAATGCCAAATCTCTACCATTTCTTGCCATTTTAAATTTAATTAATATTGTAATCTTTTATAATAATTATTACTTAAAATGAATTATTCACTTTAAAAAATATACTACCACGTAGTACATTATACAATTGTATGAATGGTTAGTGTGTATCGTTCACTTATGGTGGGGATAATCCCCTCCATTTTCTATTAACCATATATATATTGCAAGATTTATACATATCATTTAAAAAAAAAATAAATAGTATTAATTATTAAATGCAAAATTTAGAGAATACAAATTAAAAGAAAAAACTAAAAATAGAAAAATTTAATTGAAATATTAAAAATATTAATTATATTTGAATAAAAGTGCATTTGTTTGAATATTAGATAGCAAATAATTTAGGATAATAATAAAATATGACTATAAATACTTTCTTTTAATATATTAAATTATTATTTAAGCAATAATACATTTGTTGACATAAAATAAACGCTAATGATTAAATAATTTTAAATTCGATATCTCGATTCGCGTACATCTCGAAGTTATTGTAAATTTGTTCTTATTGCGATTAGAATTAATTATAATTTAAATGATAATGAAATATTTATTTTCTCGATCTCTCATGCAGTAACCTTAATGTGGTGAGACCTGGGTCGATAATACTTGCGATATATCGAAATTTAATTCTAAACTATGTAACGCAAGTACTATCGTACCGATTGCTGCATAGTTTTACGTGTTTCCTTAAAGTCGTGCCTTTTAGTTTTTAACGCGCGATTCTCTTGTATATTTTAAATTATTTACATTTTCTATTATTTGAATAATAATTTTTTAATTGAATAATAATAATTGATATATATAAATCTATGCAAATTTAAATGCATTCGTGTAAATTCAGTGATACGAATAAACGCATATACATGCATTAAAATCACCATAAAAATCATGTCATTCATGTTTCTTATTTTGCAGTATATTTTTATATCTAAATACCGGATATTTTAAATAATAAAATAATCGATGTTCTTCTCTTAACCAGATTGTATAATTAATTAAAATCTCTATTATATAACAAAACAATCGATAAATAATTAATTAATTGAATTATTTTTTCTCCAGTAACCGCATCCTTTTTTTAACCTAACGAAGGTGAAGAATAAAAAAAAATTGTGAAATAGGAAATTCATTGACGTCTTAAAAACGTGTTTCATGCAGAAAAATAATGGACAAGAGGAGAAAGATGAGGAGGACGAGGATGACCTTCATTTGTGGATGCAGATGCGCAGCATCAGCCTACTTCGCCGACAAAGGTATTCTCCGAAATGAATAATTATCAATGACGTAAGTTCGAAACTAAGGAAAGACAAATAAATCATTGATTTAATAACTTATATTATCTCTTTTGTTAAAATAGAAATGGCGTATAATGGGAAAATACAAGAAATTTAAGTGCAATGATGATGATGATGATGATGGTAGTGTGGACCCAGTCGTTCTTCCTCTAACGGTAAAGACTTGGCTGTTGAAAGAGGAAAGAGTGGGAAATACGAAGAGAGATAGGAAGAAAAAGAGGGAGAGAGAAATAATGAAAGACAGACAAATAATAAAAAGAGAGAAAGAGAGAAAGAGAGAGAAAGAAATGGAAGGGAAAGCCAGATCGTCCGGTTTCTTGCGTCCATGATTGGTAGTATCCGTTAGTATACATTCAGCCGTCGTTTGAGATGGCAATTGAATCAAATGACTTGAAAAACATTGTTGTCATTTGCTCTTGAAAATATATATCTGTATCTTTTCATTCTTATTTTAAACTTATAATCAAAAAATTTTTAACGTCGATATATTATTACAAATTGTATAGAAAATAAGTCGAAGAATCGTAAGATCGGTAGCATACCTATAACACCTTTTATAAAGGTGGCGTTCTTAAAGGCACTACATCAACGGCTGGTGAGTCATTCTATTTATTTAAAACGAAATGACGTCCTCCGAAAGGATTCATGGTTCAGCGCCGGGAATGATCTCGATGGTATAAACTAGGTCTTTGGTAGTCTTGCGTGAAGCTAAACTCTTGTTGTTGTAACCTGATTTTAGAAGATTCTAGATTATCTTTTTTTTTTTCTTTATAACTCATTCCAATTATTGTTGGGATATAAATGTTCATAACGAAGTGGTAATTATAATTAATATTTGTTTTTATTTGGTTATCAGAGCAACAAGTTGTTTGATTGAGCTACTTTTCCTTTTCGTTCGAAATTTTTAATATATTTCCTATTTTTATTTTTATTTATTATTATTTCTTTGTAAATTAATGAATACAATACTGTATTTGTTTTATGGTATATTTGTAATATTTATTTAATTGATAATTATGAAGATTGTATTAGAAATAGACGATTTTTATAAGAACATTTATTGTTGTGTTTAGAAATTATCGAGGACAAGTAGACAACAATTTATTCAGATAATAGATTACGTTTATAATTTAATCTGGTATATAAGCTCTCTTTCTCTCTGTCTTTTTTTCTATGTGATATGTGGTTTGTATGCATGTTTATGGAAAAGCGCGTATTCTGAAATGTCTTACTGGACACCAACGAAAGTGTCACACGATAGACAACGGTTTTCTATTTTATTATGTTTCTTTTTTGCATTGGAGAACTCGTTACTTCCTAATTGCAAAATACTAATGTAAATTACTTAAATTATTTAAATAATTCATTGTGTTTTTTATCGTTATAAAGAACATTTTGCGTTCAACGTTTAATCACGTAAATCATTGTTAATATTAGAAATATTATTCATTAACAATTTATGATCGTGGTATAATGAAGTTTATTTAGAAACTTATAAAGATTATGCAATCCTTCTTGGAAATATTCAATCTCGTAATAATTAGAGATAATTGAAAAAAAAATAGAAAGAAAATAAATGTCGGATTTATGTATTCACGAATGCATGCTATCACATGCATTACGTGTGTGCGCACATGATAATAATTGATTATCTTGGAATATGACATAACGAATAATTTTCTATATTATTGTATACATTGTATATATATACATTTTTTAAACGAATTACACACAGACTATAATTAATATCCGTAATAATTATATATAATATAAATTTTTGTATGTGTGTGTTTCAGATGTGAAATATTTCAATAATATAATGGATTGGTTTTGCTTATGCAGCTTATTTCTATTTGGAATAGTGACCAATGCGATAGCTGAACCGTAAGAATAAAAATTTTTAAAAAGGGGTAATCCCCACGAATACTGGCGGGAATCCCATTAGACGCCATTTTTGTTAATCTATCATACGCAGTATTAAATATATACTATGTTCGTGACAATTTACTTTGATTTTTAATTGATAATACCTTAATGTCATAACAGGAGTAATATCTGTCGAGTATTGCGCATATTTTTCATTATATTTTCTTAATTAATATTATGTCTGAAAATAAAATAATGTATTATAAATTAAATTCTAAGTTAACCAATCTTCCTTTTTACACTCTTTGTATATTTATTGCGGTAGTTTCAACATATTTTATTTTTACTACATTCTCCTATTTGGATTCGCACAATCAGAAAAAGAAACCGTAAGTTAATGTTAATAGTTTGATCGGTAAGAAAGCAATAGGTTATTTAATGAAATTTACATGTCGTGACTCTCTCTTACTTTATCGTTTTATACTCATATACAATGTTAGTATTTTATGTTTGTTTTTAAAGGTATTATGCTATCATTGCACCAAAGATTGTACGCCCTGATTCAGAATACCATGTTACCGTAAGCACTATCGGTGTCTCAACACCTTCAAACGTGTACATCGAATTGTTTGGTAATCTTGACAATGGAGATCATTTCAATGTATCTCAAAGTGTTACTGTAGAACCATATTCTACAAGAATTGTCAGATTAGAGGTATAATTAAAAATTATAATTTTCATAAAAGACACACTGTATAAAGTATTATTGATTATTTTAATTGTTTATTCTTATGTTTACAGATCGGAGATACTTCTCCAGGACACTACACACTTTTTGCACGTGGCCTGACTGGCATTCAATTTGCTAATTCTACCGAAATACAATATGTCCATAAAAGTTATTCTGTTTTCATACAAACAGATCGGGCGATATACAAGCCTGGAAATAAAGTTATGTTCCGTTGTCTTATATTAGATTCTAGATTGAGACCGAGTCTTACACGTCAAGTTGATATTCATATCACAGTAAGTATACTTATTAATAAATGAAAATAATTAGATAAGAAAATTTTTTAATTAAATTGTATTAATAATTGTAATAGGATGGAGCTAATAATCATATTAAACAATGGCAACGACCGCAAATAACACGCGGAGTTTTTAGCAGTGAACTCGAATTATCTATGTCTCCAGTTTTAGGAACTTGGAAGATTGTGGTTAATGTCAATGATCAAATGTTTGAAAAAAAATTTGAAGTCGCCGAGTATGTGCTTCCTAAATTTGAAGTAACCATAGATGCGCCTAAACATTCTACATTTAAAGAGTCAAAGATTACCGCTACGGTTCGCGCAAAGTAAGGAATTAAATATTGTATATAATAATCAAATTAAATAAATGAATTTTTTTTAAAAGATAAATTACATATCATAACATTTATATATATATATATTTCTTAGATATACTTATGGAAAGCCTGTCAAAGGAGAAGCTACTATAACAGCTTTCCCAAATATTTTCTCAGGAGTTATTCAACCAATTTTCCAACAACCTGTCAGAAAAATAGTACCCATTGATGGAAAAGTTACTGTTGATTTTAATATTATTACTGAGCTCAGGTATATTAAAAGAGAAATGTTTTAATGTTTAAAATAAATATTTTATGTATAATAATAAATGTTTTCTTATATTACTTGTTAATATAGGCTTACAGATGAGAACGAAAGGCCTATTAGAATAGAAGCTACAGTTGAAGAAGAATTAACTGGTAGAAGGCAGAACGTTTCAGTCGAGATAACGTTGCATAAACATAAATATACTATGGAATTAATAAAAACATCTGAGTATTATAAACCAGGATTAAAATACACGGCATTCGTAAGTATAATTATTTATATTATCAAAAAATAGATTCAATATAATTATTTATATATCATAATTTTATTTTCAGATTAAATTGGCTTATCATGATGGGGCTCCTGTTCAAGATACAAAAAATCCTGTTTTAATAGCTTATGGATACACTTATAATCAATCAGCTTTTTCCAATGTTACACGTTTCTTAGACAAAAATGGCATGATACAATTAGATTTTTATCCACCCATTGCTAAAGATGATATTTCTGTTCCACTTAATATCGAGGTACGATGATTGATCATATAAACAATTTTATGAATTTATAATTAATAACTATTGATAAATGATTGATTTCAATTACTTTCTTAGGCACAATATTTAAATTTACACGAGTGGTTTTCCAGTACCAATCAAGCCATGTCGCGTAGTAATCAATACATACAAGCGATTTTGAAAACAGAAAATCCCACTGTAAATCATGATGTCGAGATCGAAGTTAATTCCACAACTCCGCTTAAATATTTAAGCTATGAAGTGCTTGGTCGTGGTGATATCTTAGATGCTGGTTCTGTATATGTACAAGATAAACATAGTATCAAATTTAAGTAAGTTATCGTATAATATTCATATGCAAGCTTTTTTCAAAATAATTCCTCATTCGTAATAATAATAATAATAATAATAATAATAATAATAATAATAATAGATTTTTGGCTACATACGTTATGGCACCAACGGCACACGTAATCGTTTATTACATTCGAGACGATGGCGAAGTTATTGCAGATGCATTAGACGTGGAACTAGAAGGAGCGCTACAAAATTATGTAAATATATATATATATATATATATATATATATATATTGTCTTTCATTATTAATATTATTATAATTAATAATATAATAATAAAATATTAATTTTTTATATTGTGTGTGTGTGTGTGGAATGAAGGTCGACATCAAAATTTCACCGGAAGAAGAAGTCGAACCAGGAAAGGATGTTAGCTTGATGATTAGCTCTAAACCAAATTCATACGTTGGATTATTGGGTGTCGATCAGCGTTCTTTTCTATTAAAATCAGGAAACGATATATCTTATGTACGTAATATATTCAATGAATAATCAATGAAAATATATACACGAATATATATAATGAATATATTTTTTACAGGAAAAAGTGGAAAAAGAATTAAAATCATACGATACAATAGAAGAATCTCCTTATTCAGACTTCGACCTTTATCGTTCATTCTGGAGACCAGGATCAGGTACAGCCAACGATGTATTTAGGGTAAATATCGGTTATAAAATGTATATAAGTATAAATGTATAAAAATAAGTATGATAGAAAAATTGTTTAATTGAATAATATTAAATTTGTTAATCAGGAAACTGGTGCCGCCATTCTTACTAATGGATATCTTTTTGAATATTTATTGCCAAGTAAGTATATTTATTTAATCTTATGTAACTAAATAAAGTAATAATTTCTGTATTTATTTAACATAATTATATCTGTAATATTAGCTATATATATTTAATGTAGTATAGTTGGATTACACTTATCTTTAATACAACTTGAAGTAATGATAATATTCATTATTATAATCCTTAAATCTAGTGTGCTGAATATTCGTTATTATGCTTATTTATTACATTAATCCTAATTATTTAACAATGCTTATATGTGCATAGTATACTACAGAGCTAGCATGGCAGCACTGGATGTAGCTGTTCCTGCTCTTCCTTCTGCTCCTTCTGCTGCAAGCGTGCAATTCAACCAAGATATATTTTCAACTAAGAAGGTCACTGTTCGTAAGAACTTCCCTGAAACTTGGCTTTGGGAAGCAGTTGATGCTGGGTAATGCCAATTAATTAATTAATTATCACACATACACACGTACTCATTTTTTAATTTTAATTTAGTTAACATCGTATATACAGTTTTGCAACGTATACAAATATCATTTTATTTCTTTCATCTATAACAATCATAATCATTTATTTTATCATTAGTTACGATCATTGCTAGTATGCGAGAATAAAATTTGCTTCATAATGCCTCACAGTGACGAACCTATTTTTATTAACAGTTTTCTTTAACCGTTTGAGTCTCAGGGTTGTATCAGGGGTTGTCTTTTTTCTAAAGACTCCTTTAGAAAAATCGTGTCGACATATGTCAAGTGGATTGACGATGTATGAATATCATATTACATTTCAATAACATGCTACTTTTTAACAAGAAATTTGAACAATTCAATCGCGTTGCTTGGAACTCAAACTGTTAATTATCATTAATCGTTTGCGCTAATTCACTAATCAGTTTTTGGGTTGCTGTAAGTAACATTCTTCGTTATAACAAATGTACATGTATAACATGTTTTATAAATGCATATGTTCTGTGATTACAAATATTGTTTTTAACAGATTTAATATTTGTTGAAACATATGATTTTGTTTTGTATTAAATGTTATAGATTACAAATATTAAAAATTCTTATTTTTTTATTTATTTATATTGAAATTATTTTACAGCCGATGACTAGATGTACCATTTCATATGAACATAGTATTATTCGATACATTTATCTGTTATATAGTCATCTTAAATACATATAGTTAAATTACAGGACACCAAGGAAATTGGGAAGGTAGGCTTGAAGGGTCATCTCATGGAGCGTCTACGCTTCGACCAGATCTTGGTCCACCCGTAACGCTCAGATTAGCAACAAGGCCACCATTGGCAGGTCCTTATGCATTCTCTCGCATTCCACCTCCTGTTTGGAATAAGCCCCGTGTATTCCTTATGCATGACATCTTAAACACTTGGCTTTTCACAAATTTTTCTTCAGGGTATTTATTTGTATCTTCTATACTTCCTTCTGCATGCTTATGAGACATATTTTTGTTTGTTTGTTGTATATTTTATAGACATACGTACACACATATTTTTCTGTAAATAATATTATTCTGTTATGTTATACGCATACATACACACATACACAGTAAATCGTGTCGTCTTTTATGTATATGTAAAAAAAATGCAGGACTAAAGAAACCAAAGCTGCTTAAATTTATTTGTAGTATATGCCACTGTCTCAATGTTGTAATTAGAGCTATTATATCTCATTATCAGTTAAAAATATACACAAGTATCTCATACCAATAAAAATTTGTAACATTTCACACGCAACATTAACTTATCACAGATTACGTAATTACTTTAGGATATTTCAAATATTAAATTATTATAAAAGTAAATAAAAAGGTTTCTTTCATTTTTAGGATCAAAGGAGAAACCGAATTTCGACGCCCTGTACCAGACTCTATTACATCGTGGGTAGTTTCAGCATTCTCTTTAAGTGATGTACATGGATTAGGTCTCATCAATGAACCAAGAAAGGTTGTTATATATTATTTATATATTCTGTTATATTATTAAAAATATATTAATTTAATATATATATTTAATTAATATGACGAATATTATTTTAGCTAAAAGTTTTTAGACCCTTCTTCATTTCTATGGATTTGCCTTATTCCGTGATAAGAGGAGAGATCGTGGCAATACAAATTGTGGTATTTAATTACTTTAATAAAAATGTGGTAGCCGATGTGTTGTTAGAAAATGCCGGACAATTTGAATTTGCAGAAATTTCAAATGAGGTCCACGACACGCCCAGTAAGTTCATTATTATAAATCTCGTTTTTATTTAATTAATTAAACGATATCATATTACTAATGTATTTTTTATTTTTATAGAATTGGAATTATATCGCAAGAAAAAAGTAGAGATTAAAGCTAATACTGGTTCAAGCGTATCGTTTATGATTATTCCAAGAGAATTAGGATATATAACGATCAAGGCTACAGCGCATAGTCCATTAGCAGGGGATAGTGTTGAACACAAATTACTTGTAAAGGTAACTTTTCTTTTTTATTAATAAATAAATAATATATATATATTTTATGTTTGTATAATTTATTCTTCATATTTTAAAAGTCTGAGGGTGAAACACAATACGCGAATAAGGCAATATTTATAGATTTGAGAAGTGAAAAAAGCATGCAAACAAATATCACAATTGAGATGCCTAAAAATATAGTGCAGGATTCAGAACACATTGTGATTTCAGCAGTAGGTAATAATAATAATCTTTTATATTATTTATTTAAGTGATTTATTAAAAATTTTTTATTTGTTTACTATAATTGTAAATTTGGAAATATTAATTTTGTAGGTGATATCTTGGGTCCTAGTATACCTAATTTGGCAAATTTGATTAAAATGCCATTTGGATGCGGCGAACAAAATATGTTGAACTTTGTGCCGAATATTGTTGTATTAGATTATTTAAAGGTAATTTAAATGAAATTTCTTTTCTTTTTGGTTCTATAAATTTGTATCTTTAATTTAGAAGTTATTTATTTGTAGAATACAAACCAATTGAAACAAGCAATACAAGCTAAAGCATTGAAATATTTAGAAATTGGTTATCAACAAGAATTGACATATAAACACAATGATGGATCATTCAGTGCATTTGGCATGTCCGATCCTAATGGAAGTACATGGTAAAATAAATAATAATTTGTACTTTTTGTGATATACGAAGATTGAATATTATCTTCATTTTATTTTTTCTTCAGGCTCACTGCATTTGTAGCTAAATCATTCCAGCAAGCAAAAGATTATATAACTATCGACGATAAAGTAATAGACGAGGCTTTGCAATGGTTGTCCAATAATCAAGCTGAAAATGGTAGTTTTCCTGAAGTAGGAAGAATCAGTCATCGTGATATGCAAGGTGGAGCTGCTAAAGGTCTCGCATTAACAGCATTTACACTTATCTCATTCCTCGAAAATCCAGTAAGTATATTTTTAATAAAATATAATATTATTTCTTCTTCTTTAATGAATATTTAAAAATATTATTCTAGGAAGCGACAGAAAAATACAGAAATAATATAAATAGAGGTGTAGATTATATTGTACGAAACATGGATGGATTAGACGATCCGTATGCATTAAGTATATGCACGTACGTATTGAATTTGGCCAAACATCCATACGAGACTAACGCATTTTATGCGTTACAATCTAAAGCATTGACGGAAAATGATATAAAATGGTGGAGTAAACCAATTGCAAAAGATGACAAAAATCCATGGCATTCTTTATTACCTCGTTCTGTAGACGTAGAAATGACATCTTATGCTTTACTTACATACTTGCGAAGACATTTAATTGCTGATTCTATCTCCATAATGAAGTGGTTGGTTAAACAAAGAAATTCAGAAGGTGGTTTTGCATCTACACAAGTATGTTTATTTATATTATTTTAAATAAAATAAAGAGACTATTTAAAGAGTTCTTAATGCAAGAATTTATTTTAATTTTAGGACACCGTCATTGGTATATACGCATTAGCGCAATTAGGTGCAAGATTAATGTCAAAAGACAATTCTGTTTTTATATCGTTATTCTACGAAGGAGAACAAAGTCAATTAAGTATAAATTCTCGCAATGCTATGATACTTCAGAAACAAATTGTAAGTTTTTAATATTTTTTATAAAAAAGAAAAATATTATATAATTATCTTCTTGTGTGTGTGTGTGTGAATTATTTATTATAAATTGATATATATAGCTTCCAAAGAAAACTCGTTTCGTTAACATCACTGCAAACGGTAATGGATTTGCCATAATTCAAGTATCATACGAATATAATTTGAACGTAGCTGGTGCTTGGCCATTATTTACTTTAGACCCTCAGGTAGATCGAAACTCTAATGCTAATCATTTGCAACTATCTATTTGTTCTGGGTATGTAATCATTTATTTATTACTAATAAACTAAAGAAATTGTCTTTATATTAATATATGAATATTTTATATATCATAGGTTTGTACCAACGAGGGAAGCTAATGAAAGTAATATGGCTGTTATGGAAATAAGTTTGCCGTCAGGTTTTACAGTTGATAGAGATTCCCTACCTAGTCTTGAAGTTTCACAAAATGTTAAACGTGTAGAAACTAAGAATGGTGATACAATGGTTGTCTTGTATTTCGATAAGGTTTGCATTTTATTATACTAAAAAAATAATTTATATCTTTTTTATTATATATCATTATATATTATTATATTATTTATATATCTTTTATTATATATACATAGATATTACTTATATCTTGCTTTTATTATTTTTATTATTAAAATCTAATACAATGTTACAGATGGTCGTTCACGAGTATTGTCCTACCGTATCTGCGTATAGAACACATAAAGTAGCTAAACAAAAACCAGTACCTGTATCTATTTACGATTATTATGATTCATGTAAGTTTTTCTATAAGTTTTTATTAATTACATATATTATTGATATATTAATATAATTTTTTTTTAAATACATTAGCGAGAAGAGCACGAGCATTTTATGAGCCACGAGTTGCATCGCTTTGTGATATTTGCGAGGATAAAGAATGCGAGGATGTTTGTCTCTCACAACCTGATAAAAGGAAAGATAATGATCATGCATCTGCTGTGGCATCATCTTTATGCATAAACGCATATGTGACGTCCTTGCTCGTTTTGTTTTCTGTTTCACTCTATAAATATTTGTAAATATAGGATTTAGCGTGAAAATACATTTATACGTAATATTTACAAGTGACATAATATTAAAGTATAGACCAGTGTTTCTTAAACTTTATATGTTTGGTAAAAATATTCAGTAATTTTTTTTGTAGATATAAATATTTCTTTATTTCTTATTTCTATATTTTATTTTTAAAATTTACATTAACAAATCTAAAAGGATTAATTTCTTATTTTAATAGAAAAAGCCATGACATCAAGATGTTAAACTCGTGTACATAGTTTGAGAAACATTGATATATATATAAACGTGGTATGTAAGTGCTGACCAAAGTACTTTTCAAATTTACAGAATTTGCAATTTTCAAGTTGCAGATTTAATATTACTTTACTGACAAAGCAGAATAGTTTAACGTGTAAGAAATTAATTTTAAATTTATCTAAAAACAAAATATATTGTAAAACATATTACTAAAGTTATATACTGTTATTAATATTATATATTACGTATGTATATTTTTTCAATATTCTTTTTTTTTCTAGCTGAATATATATATTAACGTTACGAAAGATTTAATTAACTCGCGCGAAGAAAAATAAATATATATAATTATCTTTTTATTATTTATTCCAATAATATTATGCGAAAATAGATGACACAAAAATTATTTTTATATAAAATATTTCAGAAATATGAAAATAAACATAAATTTCAATAGTTATTATCTGTGTGATTGCAAAATATTTTTATTGAATTATACTGTAGAAAATATTTATATATAATAATATTTTATATAAAAACATAAATTATATATATATAAAAATAAAATAATTATTATCATATGAGTATATTACATGTATTCCTTAGTCGGTAACTTTTTACCGACTGTAAGAATCGCGTGACGTCACATTATTGGCAATAACAGTACCAATAATTTCCGACGAGGTCACCCTAAAACGTAAAAAATTTAACATGAAGTTTCTATTTTATATAATAATAAAGTTTATGGTTAATCGAGCGAGTACGGTAGCTCGACCGATTGTTAATAGCGTCATTGGGATCGTTGTTTCTGTTGAAGCGTAATATTTATATTCAGTGAAGTTCTTGAAAGGGACTTTAAATTTTTGCAGAAGCATTACCCGCGGACGGGATACACTTATGAGTAAGTTTTGATTGCCTACCAATATCCAAAAATGCTCCCGCTAATTCTTGGATAACCACAAACTGCCCCCGCTTGCTAACGCTAATCATTTAAATGCAAACTCGTTGTCTAATATTTGATAGGGACGACTATCGTCGATTAATTTTTCGTAAAATTATGCCAGGAAATTTTTTTTCTTTTGCACGAAGAAAAAAATTATTTTCGTTGCGTAAAAAATCTTATTTAATTTCTACATTAAAACGTGAAATTTGAAAAAAGTATGAATATATTTTTCTTATTATCATTATTATTATTATTTCAATAATGTAAAGCATTAGAAAAATTCTAATTAATTTTATATATTGTGTGGTGTAATATATACAATGCATTAACATTATTTCTTCTATTTATCATATTAAAATTGATATATTGGTATTCATGTTAAACATTATTTATAAAATGACTAAGACTTAATAACAAAAATGAGTATATGATCTTCCGTGACATAATATTTTAATTTAACTTAAAATTTATGCATTATTGTTTTACATATAATTAATTGATGTGTATTGTTTGAAGTTGTAATATATGAATAAACTTTTGTAATATAAAGTAAGGACGTCAAAATCGATATGTACACGCATTATATACATTTATTCTTGTATAATATTATATGTATTAATATATATTTTAGGCATGAGGCGCAAGAGTGAGAGAAATAAAGCCAAAGCGACACCAGAAAAAAAAGTGGAAAAACCGACAAGAAAATCAACTCGCAGGCGTGGAAAACGTTCACCGTCAACATCACCTGAGAAAGATAACATAGAAGCAGCTACTACAGTTGTTCCCAGTTGTACTAATGAAAACGAAAAGTCTCCAGTACAGACGCGTATTCAAAATAAAGAATTAGAGCAGGTATCGGATAGCCATGAAGAGAAGGTATCTTCCACGGAAGGAAACATAAAAGTGCAATCACCTGAGGCAGAGGAGGAGAATAATGGTGATTCTGTATGGAAAGTGGCAAGAGCTGACGCATCTCCTGGGGAGATACAAAAATTGAAGTTATGCAGACAGAGGAATATATCGGAGGCATCATCTGAAGCATCGTTGAGTAGGAAAAAGTCTAACAAGTGGCAAGAAAGTGGTGAGGGAGGTGCAGGGGAGGTTGACTCGGCAGACGAGCAGCTGGTATCTTGTACAAGAATGTCCAGTGGCATTGAACAGCCGTATGATCCCTCCTCTTCATACCCAGGTCAGGACTCCAACGAAGAGGTAAGTGATAGCAAGGAGCTCCTGCCTGAAACCACTTCAGCCAACTTGTCTGACGATAAACCAAACATAGATCAACAAGGTGATTCAAATGAGGCTAGTTGTTCCAACCAAAATCTTCATAGCGAGCCCAGTAAGCCAACTAGTACAACCACTCCAGCTACTACTAATTCTTCTAACGGCGATCGTGTATCAGAGGAACTAATCCCTGATATTCCTAAGGAAGACCAACCTGAAGAAACCACTGACCAGAAATCAATAGAAGTATTTGAGAAAGAAACGAGTTTGGAAAATGCATCCAAAGAAATGCATACTAATACCGATGACGAAGAACACGACGACAAAGAAAAAATTCAGAAATCAGATTCGTCGTCTGAGTCTAACGACGAGAAACATACTAAAATAGATTGCAGTAGCAATAGAACAGCATTGCGTGCTAGTCGTAGAAAGCATAGAAATAAATATAGAGATTCTTCTAATTCTGAAACGCCTGATTCCGAAGATGAACAGTCTGTCGATAATAAATTTGAACAATCGTTTACTCGTGATAAGAAATCTAATATAACAACGGATGAATCTAAAGAAAAAGATCAACCAACATCTCCAGAATCTAAATCTAATCCTTCATTAAACAATTTAAATATCGAAGTTGAACATTCCGAAATAAGCAAACCAACAAAAGCTCAAAATGAAGCCGAAAAGCAGGACCACGTTCCCTCAACTAACATTCAGGCATCAACTCAGAAACCTGCTAAAGTTAATTTGAAAAGATCATTGTAAATATTATTCTATTATATATTTTTCCATAAATAAGATAATTCATTATTTAATACAATTGATTAATAATCTTATATTTAAATATATTATTTTTTAGTACGACACGAATATTAGTTGACAAAACTGATGCAAAAAGTGAGGATACCGATCCAAATGCTAACAGCGAGTCTAATAATCAGAAGGTATAATATCATTCTGTAATATATTATCAATTTTACTTTTAAATCAAATCTAGATCTAAATAATATAAATTTTCTTTTTTCTCTAGGAAAATCATAGTAACGAAGATAGTGAGTTTAAATCCGTACCAAGAAAACGGAGATGGGGAACAGCGTTATCGACAGATTCGGTGCCTTCTTTTTCTATCTCAACAGATTCCCTTAAGGTAATATCAACAATTATAAAATTCTTAATATAACATATATAAATTGTAGATAATAATTTAGTTAATATTATTTGCGTTTAATAGGCATTAGTGCCAGGAGCAAAACCATTATCCATCAATGAAGTACGTTTATCGAAAGATGACGACGATGAAAGAGATCAAAAGGGAAATGGAAAATGGTTTGACGAGGATATTAATGATCCAAAATCTAAAGATATTCTTGCACAGAAGAATGGTGCTGCGAAAAAAGGGGATTTACAAATTGAAAATCATATAGGTATATACAATCTCTCTCTCATGCTTATTTTTATAAATAATTTATATAATTATTTAATAACAAAATAATATTGTTTTAAATGATTAATTGATTGTCTTTTATATTTTGTAATTTAGTAGCAGCAAGGCGGAAGATTTCTATCATGAAAGAACCTTCGCACGTGAAGTCACCTAGTCCACCAGCGACGAAGCCTACAAATATTCTTTTGATAAAAAATTTGGTTCGTCCATTTACATTGAATCAAATAAAAGAATTACTGTCACGTACTGGTACTATTGTTGAAAATGGATTCTGGATGGACAGAATTAAATCCAAATGTTTTGTTGAGGTTTGTTATAAGTTATCATCTTATAATATAAAATTAGATAAATAATTTAATATTCTTATGTTCTCTCTGAAATATAATTTTATTTGAATTTCTACATATATATATATATATATATCTTTATTTTTTAAATATTTATTATTATCATTTTTGTTTAGTATGCTAATGAAGATCAAGCATTTGAAACAAGACAAGCATTGCATGGTATTTCATGGCCTGTGTCAAATCCGAAAAGACTACACGTTGAATACGCCACCAAGGATGATATGGAAATGGCAAGAGAATCATCTAAAGATCAACCTGTTTCCCGTAAGACGGAACAACTATTGACGACAGAATCCTGGCAACAAGATTGGAACCGCGAGGAAAGAACTAACTCGGCTAAGGTATTTACCGAATTATTGAAATAAATATAAACGATAATAATACATAAACTATTTTGAATCCAGGTCGTCGTTGTTAGAGAATGGGATTTAGGTAAGGAGGATGGTCAACAACACGTCAAAGAAAAAGAACGTGACAAGAAAGAACAAGATAAGAAAAGAAGAAGAAGTCGGAGTCCGGCATTGGAAGCACATCTTCCAGCTCCTGCAAGAAAATTCAAAAAAAAGGAAGACGATCCACCTCCGGCTAAACTTTTAGATGATCTTTTTAGAAAAACTAAAGCAACACCTTGCATATATTGGCTACCACTTACGAACGAACAGGTAAATTTTTTATTTTTATACATTAAAATGGTGCATCTTTCTTTTTATTTATTTATTGAGATTATCAAATGAAATAATAAAAGTTACCAGAGAATAAGGTTCTTCTAATATAAAATCTCCTTATAATTTAACAAGTAAGAATTTTACATTTTAGTAACGTCAATGTCAATGTTTTCTGTCTGTTTGTCTCTCTCTCTCTTTCTTTCTCTATCCCTCTCCCTCTTTTTTTCTTTAGTTTTTTCTTGAACAATTATTAATTTGACTATATATAAAAAAGAAAAAATATACAATTTAACTGATAACACAGAAGAACCTTAAATTAATAGTTTTAATTCAATGTTATAATATTGTGTGTTCATATTCTATGAACGCAGATAGTAGTAAAGGAAGAAATGCGAAGACAGCATATGGCAGAGCACGCACGCAGACTAGAAGAGATGAGACGTACTGAAAGAAGCAGAGACAGCCGTCGTCGTCGTAGTCCAAGAAAATAGAAAATTTGCAGATCGCCACTTCCGATAAACGTACCTTTTTCCTGACGTAAACAACAACAAAATAACAGACTCAGACGGATTCTTCTTACACGCGGAGAAAAAACCTATTCGCAATTATCGACAGAGAGAAGAAGAAAAAAATAAATCTTTTCTTTTTTTTTGTTGCAACATCTGACAATTGACATATTCATCAATTATTTAACATTCTTTATTCTGTCGCTTTTGTTTGATTAAGTTTCACGTTTTATTTTATTTGTTTCCAAATATTTATATCTCTATTGATATGATGCTTTTATCCCGCGATTAGGGTTTTAATATTTGTTAAATTTTGTAATTGAAAACAAACTTTTGCTACATATATATATATATATATATATATATATGTATGTATAAATCTTGGTTTCTTTTCTGTTTGTATATTCTATTTTTTTTTTTTTTTTTTTTTTTTTTTTTAGTTAGCTAAGGATGATTAATAATTGTTCATTTTTGATGATTAACTTTTAACGGACAGTGTGGAAAAATTTTTCCTTTTGCATGGTGACGTTCCATCATCATTTCCTCCGTTCTCTGACCACCACCTCACGCTTTGAGCATTAAACCTTACTTCTTACAGGTCAACAACATTAACTATTCGACAGAGTGGCGGTAACAATAGAACAAATTCGATAGAGTGTGGCGCACTGTGTTTTGATCATCTGTACGGGACAGGCACTACATCAATTTTCTCTGCAAAACTTGCATCGTCTATAAAATTACGCTGCGATTAAAAAAAAAAACTCTGTTATTTACTCGATGATGTATCGTACATCACGAGTTAATATATGCATACACCTACAACGTGGGAAATGTTTGAGAGAAAATAAAAAAAAAGAAGGAGAGAGAAAAATAGAAAGAGAGTGAGAGGGAGAGAGAAAGAGAGTAAACAAATAAATAACTCTATCGGTCGAGTAACAAAAAGGACATTGTATTTGCGAAAGCGTAATGTTGAATTGAGTTATTCGTTTTCTCTTTTACTATGAAACGAAATGAAACTTTAGTCAACCATTTAAGCAAAGCGCGAATAGCAATAAACTAATCACAATAATGAAAATCATTTGAAATATGTGAATGTGGGAAAAGCAGATGCAAGGCATGTGTAACAAAATAAAACAAAAAAAAAAGAATTTCTTTTCTTAATATCGAATATTTTTGTTCGCCTTAACTTTAAACTCGAAAGTTAATGGATAAAAAAGAATTATGACCCTATCACTCTAAAATGTGATAATAGAGATCATGAAAATACGCTAGTGTTGTTTATCTACCTGCTCCTGAATAGTCGTGCAGGAAGGACACACACACACGTTGTATATATATAATATTAATAATAATAATATTCAATATTCCATAAATATGACATGTGTAAAATTATCAATAAATGTAAAACACGATAGGATATGAAGTACGTTTACCGCTTACTTTTTACAGTATACCAATTGGGAGATTGTTATTTACCTGTAGATGAGAATATAAACAAGTAATACTTTACAAAATATACATGTGTTCAGAAAGTCATACATATGTTTTTTTTAATTTTAATTAATTCTATTTTTTTGTTTTCATTTACTTTAATTTAAAAACATATATCTAAATATATATAATACACACGTATGCATGTATTCACGTATATTTATTATATGCTTCTTCTACTGCTATTAACATCAAAAAAGTTCATTTGTTATTTTGTCCGGTTTCAACGGAATATGTACATAAACTTATTTGATATCTTTATTCATATCAATAACATCATTAATACTAATATTTAAATGGCTTTTTAATTTACAAAATTGTTGTTACAATGTGCATATCGATTACGCTAATAAAATATTTTCAAATTACAAATACTGTTAATTAGAAATAAATTTTCATTGATCACGATTTATATAATACGTCAATTAATTAATCGTTTACAATTTTTCTTACTTTTTTTTTTCAATTAAAGCAACCTCTCCAATATTTTTAACGTTAAACTTGGGATTGTGACATTTAGAAAAATATGAATATTTTTCATCTTATTTTTGAAATTAAAATAAGGTGTTTCTCTTTTCAGAGTTAAATACTTAAGTAAAATTAATATTATATTTCGTTTGTTGATATTTATAGCAACTAAAATAAAAATCATTCTAATGACATTAATATTATAATAAATTGAAGAGTACAATGTGTTTTTTTTTCACGGAACGGTGGTACCTGTATATTTAAACTTTGTTTCTTAGTTTCCTGTAGGCCAAATATTTGTAGGTTAACGTTCTCTTCGCAGACAATAAATGTTTGGATAAATTAATTAATATGACATTAAAAAAAAACAAAAATATAATTTTTAAATAGAATATCATCGTAATAATATATTATTATTTTCGTACGCCCATACAGAGCGCGGTGTGCGTGCAGCAAGTTTGCTCGCATCCAAATATTAATCATATAAAATTTCTTAAGAATGATCGATAGTCGATGTTTATTATTCTTCGAATAGTTTCACAGCTAACTAGGATTATCTTATGAAATTGTTCAAAAGTTTTAAATCTTTAATCAAATATTATTGTTAAAAAGAAAATATGTTATTATTTTTCACAATAATATTTGAATTAAAAGGATTCGAGAATAAATTGAACATAAGTTATATATAAGCATATAACAAATGATCATTGTACTATCGAACATTTTTTTTACTCATTCCTTTCATCTTGTTGTACCACGGTTATTTTTTAATATTTATACTTTTGGTTATTTAACTGTTTAATTAGTCAACTTTTACCACACTGTAGATTTTACGCACAAACCAAAAGCAAGCAAAGAAACCAATTGAACCTATAACATTTAAATGTTATTATTCTCATTATTAAAACATTCAATTATTTTTTCTTATTGTATAATAATAATAATAATAATAATAATAATAATAATAATAATAATATATATTTAATAAATATTATTTACCTGTTAGAAGGAAGAATAGATAGACCATAATTAAAGTATATCCAAAATAAAGGAACGTGGATGTGGCATCTTCAATATCTAATTTCGTCATGAAAAAATGTACGCAATAAATTAACAAGTAAAAGGCTGTAAATCCTGACGTTAGAAAGCTGCGCCACCACCAATGATAATCCTATAAATAAATACAATTTTTATTATATAGTAGATAAAAAATATTAAAGATGAAAAAATAAAAATAAACTTTTCAATGATATATTACCTCTGCACAAAGATGAAAATAACACAATAAGATTGTAGTTTCAGAACACGTAATCACAAGTATTAAAAATACTAGGAAAAGAAATCCGAACATGTAATATACTTGGCTAGACCTGAAAAAAATATATAAATATTTTACACGAATTATATTATATTTGGATAATTAATTAAATAATAAAATATAGTTGTATAATATTAATTACCAAAGCGAGTTAAGAATGAAAAATAATTGAATAAATATACACCCAAAAGGTAATACACCACCCATTATTACACCAGGTATCGGTTGCGTATAAAAACTTTGTTCTGGTATTTGTCTTGGTATTTGATTAGTTCTTACTGGATGTTCCAATGACTGGAATAATAAATTATCCATTAAGTAACATATTTGTTTGAACTTTTAAATTTACATATAATATACACATGTATATGCATTTACCCTTTTCTTAAATCCAAAGTAAGCTCCGATAAATGTTAATGGAACGGATACACCAAACCATAATGCTAAAAGGGCGATAAGAGTACTAAATGGTACAGCTGCTGAACTCCCTTTTACCCAAAATATTAAGTTCATTATAAAAAATAAACCGAAGACAATCCTGAAATAATAATAAAGAAAACATATATAAAAAGAAATAAAAGAAGTAAAGAATAAAGGAAGTATTAAATATAAGTTAGAATAATAGAATATGAAGACCCCACATATATCATTTTATAAATCAATTATAAAATGTTTATGTAAGACATTTTGTTTTCATGGATAAAGTATCATTATTTTACCCAGGACTTAGCATTGACGTAAGCAATACATTGGATTTCCATTTTTCACCGCCGAAACTTTTATAAATTCTAGCAGATGTATAACCAGCTGTTGTTCCAAGGCATACATACAATACCATTGCACACGTCATTAATGCTCCTCTATTAGCAGGAGACAGAAAACCCAAACAAGCAAACGCTGTAATCAATTGGAACAATACAATAGCTCGTTATAATTTTTATAAAAGCAAAAGGATTGAAAAATAGTATTATTTTTTATATTTCAAAATAATATGAACAAACATTTTAAAGTAATTTAATGTTTTATTAAATTATATATCATTTTTCTCACCTAGCGTGACAAGGGTCATGAAAAATACTTGTATACCAGATCCAAGTAATACTGAAAGCAACATTCCTTTACGTGGCGGTCGGAAGACATCACCGTGTACGAGTTTCCATCCAAATTCTTCCTGCGCATCCTCTCCTGACTCTATCTGGAAGTAGGCCTGCATTATCGTAACATAAACGTAAAGATATCATAATGTTGTACAAAAATATTATCTTGGAATAACTTTTCACTTTAGAAACATTTTTAAATTAAAAAGAAAGAAAAATAAGACAAAATAAGAAGTAAAACAAAGTGAAGGTTTACCAGGGAAGTGAATCATAACAATCATACTAACGCAATGCCAATAATAATATTTGAAAAACTTAAAGAAACATTGTTTTAGTGTATCTTATTGTCACAATGTTGTATATATGCGTGTATACCTGATTATATCTCACGATATCCTTGTGCAATGTGCGGAACATAATCATTGCCACCATTCCAGATAAGAATAGGACAATAATTAATGAATTCAGGATACTGAACCACTGTATATTTGTATGCGGCATTGATTCCAATATGTAATCCCATCTGGATGACCATTTGATTGTATTATCTTGCTGTAATTTTATCATTATACAAAAAATAGTAATAAGATAATTAATAATCGCTTATTATTATTATTTTTTTTCTTTTCTCTATAATAAATATAATAAAGAAAACTTACCGAAAATCTTACAGAATATGTATATGTTATATCCAATGTTTTACCAGCAGGAAGATCTTCGGGTATTTCCATAGGAGATGTTTTGCTATCACAATTTGGGTTGTTACTGGTATGTCTGATACTACGAGGAGTTACTTTTACGGCTATGAAGAAAATAAAAATATTTCATTTATTTACGATAAAAAAATTATTTTTCGTTAACATTATACTGTACTATATTAACAAAGATATTATTAAATGCTTACAGATAATGCGACCACCATTCTCTTTGAAACTCGTTCCCCATTCTTCTTTGACTCCACTGTGATATGTTATGTTAAGATCGACGTGGTTGAATATAAAGTATGCTTTTCCTGTTTTGCTATATAAACCCTAATAACAGAATTATCCAAAATATTAAAGTATTAAAGTACTATGAAAATTATCAAAGAAATGTTTTAGAATGTTATCATATTTAAGAATGCATACATTAATGCTGCAGGTATCCTGTGCTGAAAGAGGTTCCCGCGTAAAACAGCCCATTGGAAAACCAGTACTACAATATTGCTTTTCATCTTGTATTTGATAACACCACGTAACTGGCATATTATCTATCAAACAAAAAATCAAAGTAAGAATAACAAATTAGGTATAATAATATTAATAATAATAAACTTATCAATTATTTATACCGATGATCCAATGATGTTGATAATTAAGCGCAATTCCTTTTCTAAGAAATTGCAACTTTTGTTCTGAAACTTCCTCTTTTCCTTTATATGTTTTTGTGCAAGCAACTTTACATGTTTCTGGTCTTAAGAATTCCAACTAGAAAAAAAATATATATATATTTATATATTATATTAAATATTATATTTATTGTAATAGAAAAAATAATTGGAATTATTAGTTTACCTTGTACGGAGAAGGACGAATTCGTTCTCCGAATACAACTTGCCCTAAATTTTCAACCGGTGATTCTTTTTTTTCCGCAGTACAAAAGTCAAAACTAAATTAAGACAATTTTATTATTATTAAAATGATACGATATAAATAAAAAAAAGATTGTTTTGAAATTTATTTAAATAGTTAACGGCAATATACAGGATGTCTGATGTTTTTTCGATCAAACAATGTCAGTGTATTCTATGCACAAAAATAAGAAAAAATGTTGTACAAACATAGATCATCTAAATCTTCAATAAAAAGTTGTATAGAGGCTGAAAAAACCTCAGACACCCTGTATAATATTTAAAAAATTAAATTAAAAATAAAATTACTTTATTTTACTTACCGATTGTATTCGTAAGGTATGACATATTTTTCAGTATTTAGACGATTAACATATAATTGAATTTCAGACTGAAAGAAAGAACAAATATTTTAGAATATTATTATTGTTATAATTTAAAAAAATGACAATAGTATTAATTGATAAAACAAAAATGTCTGGAATATATATTATTTATTTCTATTTATTTCTATTATCACATAAGCATTACAAATACTAGAAAATATCATTCTATCTATCAAAAAGATAAGATATTTTATATTAAAATAAAGTAGAATTTTGAAACGCAAATTGATGATCTTAACCAAATATTCTAAAAAAAAATGTTTAATATTGTTATTAATACGATGATTAGGATAAATAAATACAAGTTCTTATACCTTACAATTTTTCGAAGAATCTCCGCTTTTACAAAAATTTACTGGTGCTAAACCGGGCAAGTAAAATGCTGATATATCATTAACTACGCATAGGAGCGTACACAATACCCATATCGATAATATTCTCGCCATTATTCGTAAACTTTTAATGTAAAGTATCTATTGTCTACTAAAAACGTATATTGTATACTACATCAAATGATTAGTCACATAACTTCATAACAATTTTTGTCCTGTAACTCTGTTACACACGTTTGTTAATAGCATGGAACGTTATATCGCAAAGAACATTAGACCTCGAAAGGTGCCATGACACGTCATGCACTCATATACGATCTAAGAAAATTTTATCGAACTAACCGTCATTTAAATTTCCCGCCAGTATATATCGCCTTACTCGCGATTAAGTTTTTTAACGATATTAATCAAACTAAATTGATAATTTTGTTTAAATACATTTTTTTTCAATTATGCAAATATATTTAAACCATTAATTTAATTATTTGAATAATAATAATAATGAAAAATAAAAATTACATTTTTTGCGAAAGAACAAATATTGAGTTAATGTAATTATTAAAAATATATTAAAATTAATAAATTTTTATATATATAAATTAATATCATTGAAAATTAATAATAATTAAAGTTTTGTTTTAAATTCCTAGTAATAAAGTTATTAAGTTGATTTTAGGTATTCATAATACAAGATGGCGTCTGTCATGTAATGACTGAACCCACATTAATGGTTGTTACCAAAGCAACGAATAAATATTAACAGAATAAACTACGAACCTAGACATGTCTGCGATTGAAATATTTTCAAGTTCTATTTATTATAAATATAAAGCTAGAATATGTTCTTTAAGTTCTTTAATTGTGTTATTATTTGTTATAATGTCAATAATTACTCCATTGTTTTTAATGTTTAATGCAGGAGGTATTAATATTTATTGTTATTTTTATTTGATTGCAATATCAACATTGGAAAAGATATCACAATTAGTATATTTTTAGGATTTTGGATAAAAACAAAAATTAATTCAGAAATGCCAGATATATCTTTTCAATACAAATATTTATTATTAATGGAGAGAGGCATAGAAATGGCTCCAATAGTTTGTTCTACCTTTACTAGCTACAAAGAAAATAAGATTTCCGATGATTGTTTAATTATAAAGGTTTCTTTTAATAATATTTTTATAAATTCATATATTTTTGTGATGTAGGTGATCAGTTAACGAACATAATCTATTCAAAGATGATGTTTGCTAACTGATCTCTTCATTAGTTGATCAACCACTGTACAGTTCTATAAATCTAAGAAACAGTACTTTTTCTTCTTATATATATCCTGTGAACTGTTCAGTGTCCAATTTGTTTGTACCCACTGTACCACATATTTATAATTATGATAGAATATATATAATTGTTTTTTGCCAAGGTACAAGAAATAGATACCAATAATGATGGGAAAAAAGATATATTAAAATTCGAAGCACAATTTTATACGGATTCACCTATCAAAAATATTAAGCTCTTTTTATTTTTTGATTTTAAATTGAAAGTAAGACATTGGTCGAGTTATATATATTTAATTATATATCAATGTTTTCGATAAATATTATTTTATCTTCAATAGCAACTCTTCGAAAGCTCCATTCAATCGTTTGCAATATTTGATCATACTTTGAACCAAGACGAACAGAAGATTCATTTTATAGCAGATTTGGAATTGAAGCAGAGAAGTATACTTCACAGCGATCATTTGTACGAGATATATAATCATAGCATAGAATTAACAGACCGATCATTGTTGCAATTGGTATCTCAAAACGTTAATAAAAAGTGTAAGCATAATATTTTAATTTTAATATTCAAAATTACAAAACTTTTTCGACAAATTTGTTTTATCTGTGTAATTTAATTACTTAGTTTCAGCTGAGGTTACCAATAGCCATGTAATTACTCAATCAGGATTTTCCAAAGAAGATATGATAACGATTCAAGGAGAATTACATTATAAAGATCATTTACTATATTATCAACCTAATTTGTGGGAAGAATTTAAATGGGCATGGATACAGTATATATCATGTTTTATTGTATTCGTTTATCTAATTAATTACATTCTAACATTTTTATTCTCTAATCGATATTTAAACTCGTATATTGTAGTGCCGTGGAAAACTAAATAATAAAACAGAATAAAGATAACAATGTTTAATATTAAACACATATAATATATATTTGTATATACATTCAACAAAATTATATTAATAGCATTGTAAAAGTAACTGATTAATTTAAAAAAAATAATCGTTTGTCTTATAATCATTTTTATAAAATAAGTATTGCATACAACGAATTATATGTGAGTATACGTATATGCAATACACACACACATATATATATATTTATACATATATATATATGCATGCATGCAACAATACATAAATTTAAAAAAAGATTTACATACCACATCAAATAAAAAAAATCAAATGAATGTATAATAAATCGAATAGTATTTCAATTGTTTTTTCGTTGTTTACAGGGGAAGGTGCGCTCGAAACGGATCGATATTGAGAATCGTCGGTGTCAAGGCGTTTCTTTTGGCACGAAGCAGCATTACCGACTATGTCAACCCTTCCAAGCATTCATCCGTATCTCAACAAGGCGTCCTACTCTGTTCAATGAGGGTGGAGACTGCGCTGTATCACGTATGTCACATACATATATACAAATTACATACATCACAGTCAGTATCATTCCTATACGTTAGCGTTATTTACTACTCCGCATAATCTACATCTCTTACACTTTCTTTCTTTATTTCTTTCTTTCATCTTTTTTCTTTCTTCCTTTCATATAGGGAGAACAAAGTGAGTGAGTGAGTAATTCCAACGTTACAAAGAAGAGATGTTGTTTGACAAATTTCACCGGCGATTCATTTGAAAAAATGGATTTTTAATGAACAAGAAAATAGGTACTAATTGTTACGCACATCATGTTCCACGAAGATAATATTATCGAAAACGGTAATTACTTTTTTTGGTATTTTTTATCTTACAATTAGAAATTAATTTTATTATCATTGTATCTTATAATAGATTTTTATTATTTTGGATAGATGTTCTCTAATTAACGTATACACTCATCTTTACAATTAATTAATTAAGCAGGAGTCATTATGTTAATTATATTTTATTATCAAATATTAATTTTCGACTAATTCTCGGATTTTAAATTACAATTTCTGACAGAATTTTAAATTATTTTTTTTCTTATATTGTTTTAAAGATTTTTATTTTGTTGCGATATATTTTTTGTACCAGTTTAGATTTGTTTTTAGGACCATTATCGGATAAGATATTTTAAATCAACAATAGATAGAGATAATAAATTTCAAGGATTCGAAGAAGAACGTGGTGACGCGCGAATCATGTCTACGAGATCGAAAGAGAAAGTAGTTGCTGCTTTTCGAAAATTATTCCGATCGTCGGAAAAGCTTGCTGAACAGGAAGGTGGAAATGATGGTACAACCAATTCACCTTCGAGACGATTACTCGGTCGTCATCATCATCATCGGCCTGATGCTGTTACACCGTCTGATGGTTCCATGCCTGAAAATCCAGGCACCAGTCATACCGCACATGGTAGTTGCTTTTTCAAAACAAAGAAGTCATCCAGTTCCTCTCAGGTATTCATTTCAATTCAAATATAATATAAATATTTGAATTAGGTGAAGATTAAAAGTCTCTTCTTAGGGAGCTAAGAATATTTGCTTTATTTTGTTATACATATTTCAGAGTGTTTTACTTTTATACAGATAGCTTCCATTTTATATTGCAATTGTTAATTGAAGATTTTAAAATTGATTGAAAAAATATATTATTTAATAATTATTAAATAAATAATTAAAATTAATAAATTTTTAGGGTAACATGGGAATTCCTGAAAAAGGAGTAAGATTACGTCGTTTGATGAAAGAACTGAGCGAGATTCAAAAAACTCAACACCGCCGAGATGCAACTTTTACCGCGGAGCTTGTAAATGACAATCTTTTTGAGTGGCACGTGAGACTTCACAAAATCGATCCTGAAAGCGAGTTAGCTGCTGACATGCGAGAACTCGAGATATCTTATATACTTCTTCACGTAGTATTTCCAGAAAATTTTCCTTTCGCGCCACCATTTATGAGAGTTATCTCACCAAGAATCGAGAAAGGATTTGTCATGGAAGGTGGGGCTATTTGTATGGAACTTTTAACACCTAGAGGATGGGCTAGTGCATATACTATCGAAGCTGTTATCACACAGTTCGCCGCTAGTATCGTTAAAGGACAGGTGAGAAAATAATCCACGTATCACTTCAACACACACATACACACTCATGTGCACTTATACTTCTAATATCTTGATAAGATACATGGTATTATTTCATTTCGTTTTTTTAGGGTTTTTTTTTTCATTACATTTTTAAACACGTTGAAATTGATTATATAATTTATTTGACACTATTGTTACTTATATATAATTTGTTGACTTGGTACATTTATTTTCACGACTCTCTTTCTGAATTTTCTATTATTTTGTACGTGTTAGTTTATTTTTATTATTTTTATAAATATATATTTTATATTTTGTTGAACATATTAAACATAAATTGAATTTTTGTAGGGACGTGTTGCAAGAAAACCAAAGACCAACAAAGAATTTAATCGACGATCTGCAGAAGAATCATTTCGAAATCTCGTTAAAACGCATGAGAAATATGGTTGGGTTACGCCTCCTCTTGCAGAAGGCTGATCTTAATGATCCAGATTAGTCAATATCATCTTAATCATTTAGTCGATCCTCTTTGTTAACGTTCTTACGTTGAAATTATTATATTTATTTAATAATTCTTCTATATATATATATATATATATGAGTCGCAATTTTATAATTCTCGAGCTTAAATATTTTCGAGAAAATATTATGTAGGAGATGAAATTGACGAAATTTAGAGGAAGAGGATAATTTTTATTCTTTTATTTATTTATTTATTTCTTTTTGGTTTGAAATAATAAACAAAATATTTGATGCACAATTATTTATTTATTTATTTTTTTAAAAAAGAGGATAGAAATTTGTTAATAGGGTGGTGGATCTTTTGTAAATAACATTTAAAATTAACAGGAGAAATATCGTATAATGTTGTATTTAATTATTATCGTGCTGGATCATGATTGGAAAATCCATCTAGCGTATTTTGATTATGATGTTTATCGTATGATAAAAAAATATACGCACTTATATGCATTTATCGGATAATATATTATATATATATTTTCTCACACGAAATTAGAGGAAACGTACGATGTTCTTCGTATATAAGTCTTATTAAATATCATCTCGTTTTTACATTTGGATTTCTCTATTTATGTATCTTAGTCATAGAGAATGATCGTACAAATATATTTAAAACAAAATATATATATAAAGAAAAAAAAAAGAAAATAATAATTACTTATAATGTGTTATTTGTTGATATGTCTTTCGATTAAAATAATAATAATTGTTTTTTTTTCCTATATCTATGTCGGTAGCAAGTAATCAGAGAGAAAAGTTTCTAATTCATTCAAAATATTATAAATGATAATATGTGTATTTATAGATTTTGTTGTTGGTACTGTATCCATAGATTATAGAAAATTTTATTATATATATACATACATATACATACATGTATACGTACACATATATATACATATTATAAATCTTTGAAAAAATTGTTTCAACTTCTTTAAAAATGAATGATAGTAAAAATGATAGAATTTTTCGGGATATATTATATCAGTATAAAAACGTTTGGTTAGAACAAAACGATTATATAAATATGTACAGTAATATATGTGCCAAAAAAAAACGAATTTTCGTAGAAAAATTCGATAAATTTGCCATTTTTGGAAATATATAATTATCACGTGCAATTTGTTATAATATAATAAAGAAGAACAAAAATTAAACAAAAAAAGAATAAGAAATTAAATTAATAAAAAAATATCAATGAATTTTAATGTAATATATAGAAAGAAAAGAAAATAACACATTTTATACAAGTTCGTCTTTATCGTTACTTATCGTAGACGTGGGGTAACATTTACAGAAACTAATGTCGAAAATGTTACACTTTATTAATATTAACGAAAAAAAAGAAAAAAACCAACGATGTTGAAAAAAACTTATTTTATTTTAAATTCGCTCTCAATTATGTATATTACAATGTAATTATATTTAAAAAATTACGCTTACGCATTCCTTTGACTATTTATACCAATTGTTTCATTCATATATACATATATATATGAAATATATATTAAATATAATTAGAGAAACATAATTGACTTGCAAAGGCTGATGCATATGATGTAATATTTACAATTGTTATTATTTAGTATATAAAGTCTCTATATATATCTTAATTAATTATTATATAGTAAAAGAATAGATCATTCAATTATTCCAATTCATTGTTATATGTACAATATACATATATATATATATATATATATATGTTCAAGCAAAAATGTATCATCTATTGGAATATTAAATATAGTAGATTGTCCGATATAAGTTCATGCAGTTTTTACCATTTATTTATTCAGAAAAAAAATCGCATGAACTTATCAAAAAATTTAATATCTCCATGCGTTATTAAAATCTATATGCAAAGAGTATTCCAAAATACATTAAGTAATGCACGAGAAAGAATAATTTTGCATTTAAAATTATACAAATCCGATATATTAAAATAATCGTCTCGCATTCATCATATCATACAATTTATTTTCATTCAATTAATTTAATTTTTATTAGCTTTGCTTTTACTTTTCTAATTTTAAATTAAATGCTTGGCCTCAAAAAATATTTCTAAATTTTATGAACTTGGCAGTATTTCGAGAATATTATTAATATTCTGTATATAAATATATATACATAGATAATTTTGTAGAAAAAATGTTTCGATAATTAATCGAATAATTGGTTACAAAAATCTATTTATATAATATAACATTTTCACGATTTAACTTCATACATTCATTATCATTCATTCTAGTTCACACGTTATTAATTATTATGGCCAAGAGAGGAACTTTTATAACTATTCATTGTTACATATTTCAAAAAGAATTATTGCTAATTTAGATCACTTTTTATCGTTCATAAATATACGCGCATTAGTTGCATCGTGTATAAAACATCACTCAAATTCTCAATCATTTTTTTCTTGTACGCAGAGGAAAAGTTTTGCGCAGAACATATTAAAATTATCTGTAATTTAATAATTAATTTTAATTTTAATATGTATACAAACAAGTAATTTAAAATTCATTGAGTGAAAATACTTACGCGATGCCGATACTAGCCATGTTGGTTTGTTTTTCCAATATATAAAAATCCAATATACAGGAATTCCAGAAAATATGATGATTATTCCTACTCCTACTTCCCATGGTGACACGTAGCAAGGAAGAATAACCAAAAATGTACAAATAATGAAGAATATTACGGGTAATGCTATAGATACCTAAACAAATGAAAAAGACAAAACAAAAAGAAAAAAAAATTAAAAAATAACACACACAACTCGTAAAATTGTATATCACTTTACGAATAATATCTGTTATAACGAGTCTCGTATTAGTAGTACCTTATGTTAAATAAAACAATTTAAACGTTTTTACCTGGAAATATCTTTAAAAAATAATAATAATTTCTTACCAAACAAATTGTTGATAACAGAAAATGATAGATGATAGATATTTCCAATTAGAAACATTGTAAATTCGATTAGAAAAAAAACTTAATCATTAGTCGTATATTGAGAATTAATTTGTGAATTAATTAAAAAAGGATATAGTAAATTAAAGAGAACAAAAATTAAATAATTAACTAATGAAATACCTTTATTGGCCTATGAAGATCGGGTCTTTTGTAACGTAGCCACAAGAGGCCAGATACTGAGAGCGTGGTGAACAGTGCTTCAACGAAGCTAACATAATTGATCAGTACATAGACATCCTCTATGATCAGAAGTGCCAGGGTGATAATGCTCTAGAAACGGAAATTACAGTTTAACGTTTAAATTGAGAGTTCGCGCTCAAGTGCAGAAAAATTGTTCTCTTCTAATGTCTACAGGTGTCTTGCTTAACAATTGTTACCTTAATTTAATAATTGCTATCATTTTTAATTAATTATCTCGCTAATATTAATTAACAATTTTTATCGTAATTGCATAAGATGAGCAAATTAAACGATAGAAATATTAATTAACAAGTAATGATATCAAATTTATTAAGGGTTCAATATTGTATTAGTTTAAATATGTACTTTGACTTCTATCAGTGTAGTATTGAAATGTAGGAGTTGACCTCTAGGTCATTCAGGTCAAATAACGTTCTCACAAACGAAGGAACAAAGACGAAAGGGATACTTCCGCTGTTTATTATCAAAGAGACGGTCAGCGACATGAAAGATCCAATTTATTAATCTCAATTAGCGTGCGCCGCAAAACAAGACGATAGTTCAAATCTCGAATATCTTACATGTTACTTACAAGTTATATTAATGAGAGTATTATTATTATTATTGTTATTATTACCATTCATTATAATATTATTTAATTTTCATAAATAATAGAAATAAATAATGTGGGTATTTTTTGTATAACACAATGGTATGAAGTGATTTTTAAATTTTAATTAAAGAAAAAGAAAAAAGAAAATACTTACCAGAAATATGAGGGAAGGCATTGGAGTTAGATTTTGTACATTAATTAATGCTATGGCAGCAGGCAAATGACCATTACGCGCACCAACGAAAAATAATCTTGAGGAAGCAAAAATGGCACCGTTCAATGCACCGAACGTCGAGCACGCTACGAAAAAGGGCATAATCCATGACATTACTCCTAATAATTTATTACCAAATGTCTGGAACGAAGAAATAAAAATAATATTGAATGAATTAATTGATCGATAAATCATATTATACATAAATGTAAACAAAATAAACTTACAACAGCGACTGCATTAGATGCAAGTATCTCATCTTGCGTTAATACAACAAAATAAGCGACGTTTGCCAAAACATAAATCACTGTCACCAATGGGAGAGATATGCATATTGCTCGTGGAAGATTTCTGTAAACAATATTATTCAAGTAAATATATAAATAATATAGATTAAACATATATGATTAATATCGTTGCAACGTTTCAACAATATTTTCTAATAATTTTATTATTGTAAAAGAAAAATATTATATATATATATATATATATTTACTTGTAAGGATCTTTCAATTCTTCCGTAACAAAATTAAGATAATTCCAACCAGAGTAAGAAAATAATCCCGAATAAATAGCAAGCGCAATATAACCAGGTTGCGTATTAGTTCCAGCCATTGGTTGACGAAAATTATCTGTATGACCGGTACAAAGCCACCAAAAACCAGCGACCATAATGATGATCAAAGCAAATATTTTGGTACCAGTAAATATATCCTGGACCCTTGTCGCCCATTTAACATTGTAACAATTAATTACAGTTAACAAGCCTAGGGATGATAAGAACAAAAAATATTATTCTTTGGTTCCTGTTGAAATCTTTTAATTAGACTTATTACTGTTGCTGATAGTGACGATTGCAATGACGTTGTCATCATTTTAATAAAATTTGTAATTATATCTTACACGTAACAACTGCCGCAAGTAATCTTACAGCTTCGTAAGATGGTTTACAATCCGGCCAAGCAGGTTGTAAAATATATTGTGCAAATGTAAGCGCAGTTATAGCGTTTCCCGTTGGAACGAGAATAAATAATGCAACCCAAAGGTAAAGAAACGCTGGTAATGGCCCAAAAGCATCACTAATATAGGCATAGTCACCACCAGATTTTGGTATCATCGTACCTGTAACAGAAAAGAAAAAAAGAAAACAATTCTAACGTGATAGAGGAATGGTATTTATACAACCAAGTATTTATCTTCACATATATATATATATAAATATTATATATATGGATATATGTAAGTATATAACACCGTGGGTGTATAAATGTGTAATTTTAAATGAAATAAAATGAAATGAAATGAAATGAAATGAAAAATGAAATGAAATGAAAAATGAAATGAAATGAAAAATGAAAAAACAAGTGTGATTATTGTATTTGCTGAAACACTTGAAACGTTAGTCCGTAATTATTTGAATTATAGCTACAGTTATTTTTTCATTAAACGAATAAGTCTATCATATCATTACAACGAATATTTCCTAGTTTTCTTTTTTACAAAATTGTTGAAAAGATTTTTATGTAAAAGACAAAAAAGAAGAAAAGATAAAAATTTTATATATATAGATTTAAATTATTTTATTTTATTATTTAAATTATTTCGATCTATAATTTATCACAGGGTTTGTTGATTATTTTTTAAATAATTGTAGTATCGTCCAAAACCAAATAGATAAAATTTCGAAAAAAGATATTTCTATATCTTATCTCTCTTAGCTAACATAATTGACATGAGATAGAATGATAATATGATCGACCTATATCGATAGAAAAACGAACAAGCGCCATTTATAAATTATTCGATCTATATATTTAAATATGTATATGTGTATCTGAAATTCCTGCAATGAACTATTAATAATAATAATTAATTTAATTACATTTAAATATATAGATGATAATTGTATAAAATATTGTCATTGAATTATTATATTTTTTGTTGGTCAGTTACTATAGATCGAAATATTTCTTATTACGTTTTTTTTTTACAGAAACTTTAGTAGTCAAAAACCTGCAGCAAGATGATGCAAGAGTCTACGGTTCTATCACTGACTACTAGCCCATAACATAAGTAAGATAACAGATATGGCTATAAATTTTACCTTAGAAACTTTGTCTTTATGTAAATAGTCATTTTTATTTCCTTTTTGACATCTATTATTTATGTTGTAAGAAAATTTATTTAACAAAAAGATAGATTTAAATATTTAAATAATTGATAAAAGAAAAAAAATAATGTTCCTTAATTATATTACATAAATAATTGCAAAAGAATTTAGTTCGAGTTAATTGAATCGAAATTGATACGATTATCGTTTAAATAAATCAATTTTGTTGTTTTAGAATACGTGAAAATAACGAAGAATATTATTTTTGTTAAAGTAGTATCTCTTGAATTGTATTATAAATTGGAGGAAAAACTAGGTTTTTGAATAATTCAAAGCTATGAATATATATATCAAGAACTCTAAAGTTCATTGCAACAGACATCAGATTTGCGTCATAGCAACGCTATTAGACTGCAGTAGAGTCGATGTTTTCTTGCGGCCACGTGTAAATGTCTTGACGTATACAATATGTGCGAGTTTTTTAAAGGAATATAAGATAAATAAATAAGAAAATAAATAATGCCATCAAATCAAATCATTAAACTTACCTAATTCCGCATAACAGAGAGCACCTATTAGTGAAAGTAAACCGGAAAATATCCAAACAATCAAAGCTTGCCCGACACTACCACTGTTGATAAGAACTCCTTTCGGTGAAACAAATATACCAGCGCCAACAATTATTCCAACGATAATAGCAACCCCATCGAGTAATCCTAATTCTTTTTTTAATTTAACACCACTGTCCTCGTCGTCATTATCTTCGGATATATTTTTTTTCGAAGCATGAAGCACGATCACTTGCCTCTCGGCTGGTGCTACCTTGTCCGGCATGTTCCTTTTCTTTTTGAAATATTTCTTTTCTTTTCTTTTTTTTTTCTATGTAAAATTTATTTAAAAAAATAATATGATGCAATATAACGGCGAATTAATCGAATTACGGGGTCTTCCAAGAACAACGTCGTTTAGTTACGACCCACTCAAAGGTTCGAATTCTTGTGAGCATACCTCTTTCCAAACGTATGTACAACATACGAACGAAATGAGCGCGTGTTCTTCGCACATGTGGTTCTACACGAGTTCTACGGTGGGGGAAAGTATCGGTGGGGGAGAACAACTACCTTCGACCAACTTCAGCTAACTTCATTAGTCATCGCTGAAACTTCCCTTCAAGAGGCAGCAACGCGTTTCTTTCTCACTACTTGTCAGTAACATTTCTTCTTTTATTCGAAATATCGCACTACGCACTCGCTTTCTCGTCGATTTCTATTTATTTTCTTAGTACACTTGTTAGATTATTTTTTATAGAAATAAATATAGATAAATCTCGATCGAAGTTCACACGTTTGTCAATAAAAAAGGAAGAATGAGAACATCATTATCGTTTAATTTCGATTACATTCGTTCCTATCGTATATTCGTTTGATTTGAAAAAATAAATAACTATCGACGATAAGATAAATATTGTTTAGTTAACAAGAATATATTGAATAAAAAATTAAATTTATTTTTGTTTTAATTTAGCAAACTCGTTACGAACAATATTCTATCGATATTTTCATAAGAAAATATTTTCCCGCGCCGAAACGGCAGATGATGCGACATTCGTGTGCACCTGCATTCACGGTATTGATTTTCTCAGGACTTCCGGTATCTACTTCTTAAGAAATACGTATCACATATATTTACATATATTTGATATTCACGTAGGAATAATTTTATTGGCACGAATGTAACTTGGTAAATATTACAAATAGAATAGCGATTGATGTTAACGTCGAACAGAAAACGTATATTATTCGATAGAATTTAACGAAAATCGAGCATAAATTTTGAACGCTGCGTAGCATTAAAAATAATACTATTATATCGAGCGTATATATCACTTCCGATAAGAACGCATAAATTTTTCATTCATCTTTGTTCATCCTTCACGATGCACTTCACTTATTTATTTATTTATTTATTTATTTATTTATATTTCACGAGAATTTCCATCGCATTAAAATAATTATTATTAATAAATAAAAATATACTTCTGTTTATTTTGAATCACTGTAAACATTTCACTGTAAATATATTTGTAGGTTTAAATTTTTATAAAATTATTGTAAACATAATATTTCTTTGACGATCATTCGAACGATGATTTTTTCTACGACGAAGCAAATGCAAAGAATCGATAGTAAAAAGAAACATCGTGATCTTCCGGTGTTTGCCCGGACGTGTCACGATTTATTGCGAATTTCTCGTGAATCTCGCGTGAAGCACATACGCTGAAGGGATTAGAAATACTGCGTGTTAAAATGCTTCAACGATAAAGTCTCTTCTTGGGGACACCCATTGCTGACATTGGTATAGAGACTTAATTTCATGATCGTCGATGTAAAATGTAACAATCATTGTTCAAATTTCATATTCCTACGCTTATGCTTAGTAGTCCGTTACGAGCGCCCAGTGATGCACAACCTTTTATCTTCATGCCGTCGATCAAAAATTTATCGTTAATTCTCTTTTATTTTTATTTTTTTTTATCCTTTTCTTAAATAATTACTTTAAATTAATTTTTCACTGCAGTTTGTAAAAAGTGTAAATAATTTTATTTAATATACTTGAAAATATCAAGTATTGAGTTAGATTGTTTTATACGTTTTTTAAATTTTGTAATCTTATCGGTCGTACGGTAAAATATAAACATAGATATTTATTGTTGTAAAGCATACATTTTCCGTTTATGTTTTATAATTAATTTAACATGTTGATTATATCATGTTGTTGATTACCCGTTTGTTTTTTCGATGGAAGCTACGTGGTCAATCATGACGCCAGCTTTATTATATTGTTTTCTATCTTATATCTTATAATTGTGGCCTCCATGGTAAAGCATATCAGTCAACATGTTAATAATGTTTTTTTTTGTTTTAGATGATAAAAAAGAAAATGGTTGCAAACCACTGCATTGAGAACTTCCGTTACTTGTTTCTCCCCCTTTATTCTTCCAGTGGCCGCAGGAGTATGCTTATTGTTAGAATTATTTTGTTTAATGCCAAAGGAGTCGATCATCGTAAAGTTTATCACCTGATAAATAACGTTCTTAGACTTTTAAAAAATGTCAATCTATATATTAGTATGATAAGAATAATTAGAGTCATTATTATTCCATTTTTTATTTTATCTTTAACATGACTAAAGTTTATTTACATTTTTTTTGAACTTGTTTTGTTACTAGTATTCTTCAGTGACCGTAAAATTATTGAGATTGATACCAAATGAATTGGTCATTGTAAAAAGGTTTATCAGCAGATAGAAAAAATCCATAATTTTGTTAAAAAATTATTTATTTACAAGATAACATAGTAATTATTAAGAATAACTATTATAATTTTATTTTTTATTACTTATATTTTTGTTTCTCTCTCGTGTAAACTTATATAAATTTAAATTAATTTATATGTTTTTCTTATTGATAGGAATAATTGATTGTTCAACTAGAAATAAGAATATTAATTAGTATAATATAAAGATTCTGGTTTGACTGTGTAAAAAAATATCACTGTTACAGTTATGATAAAATGAAATATAATACGTGTATGTAAGTTTAAGATAGACAACTAAAACGTTGCAAAATTTAATATTAGCTTATTATTTGCGTTTCCGAAATCTAGACACAAAGTTTATTTGTAACTTTTTATCTGATTAACTCTACACCAGATGTTATTTTGTAATCCTATGAAATGTGAAACTTAGAAGATTAGCTAATTAATGTAAAACTTGACTAAGTCAATTTTGTTATTTTAACACCATCTATATATTTAAAAAAAATGCGTTTTTATTTATTTATTGTTAATACTAATAATTATTTAATACGGTATATATTGATTGAAAAGTAAATTAAATTTGTGAACATTCATATTCTGTAACAATGTAATAATTTAAACAATGTTTTCCTCAATATTCGAATGTATTTATATCATTTAATTTCTTTTTAAAAAGTTGAAATTCAATCGTCAATTTAATTCGGTTAAGGTTAGTTTCAAGCTCAGACTGAAATACCGACCGATTTTCTAATAGAATTAGGTTTAGAATAAAAATAGCATTTCTAAATGAATTTTAGATAAATTCTAGAATGCATTTTTTATATATCCACGAATTTTATTTAAGTATTATGAAAATATTGATAAAAAATGTATAATTTAAATTAAATATAATCTTATATATATATCACGAGCAATTATGTTAAAATTAGAAAACTTTTTGAAATAATTGTTATGATTAATCATGTGCGAATTTTTCAATAATATAGCGTTGATAGATTAAACTAATTTTAAAATAGAATGTATTGAGCAATACATTTGCGTAGATTTTCAATTTTAGGAAAGTTACCATGACATTCTGATTCAGATCCAAGCATATGTTGTGAGAGTGAATGGAAAGATAAAATAATTTTATAAGATTAAAAAACTCGTTTTCAGTGACTTGATTATTTATTATATAAAAAAATGATTAGCTAATGATATTAAATATTGTAATATGTAAAAGTTGATTTCCTTGTACAAATTATCTATGTCGATAACACATTTCTATACAACATTGCATACGGTATATATATCATACATTAATTATTTTATTTTATCTCATTAATTATTAATATTAACATTTATTTTTTAATAACACTTTGTATATTTAACAAATTGTAAAAAACACGTAAAATATTTTTCTAATTTTAAATAATATTTATTTTCTGGATCAATGATGTGTGGCGCTATCTGCAGCACTATGAGCGAACAATCTTCATTGCATTACCGACTGCATCATTCCACCATTTTTATCTTACAAGCTTGTGTCAACTCGAATGGCTTGGAATAAATATTATTTTGAGTCTTAATTTTTGTTAACAAAAATGAATAACATCGAAATAGAAGATTTTTATCATCACGACTTCACGACTGCCACAGAATGGGAAGTTTTTATTGCACGTTTGGAAGAAATTATGCACGAGTGGAAAGTGTCAGACAAAAGAAATGGTCCAGTTTTGAAATCCGGTGATTTTATTCATTCTCAGTGGAAAAATAATACGGAGAAAATTAATTTTGCAGGTATATTTATTACTGTTTCTATTCTTTTATTTATTTTAAAGATATAAACGTTTATTCAATGTTTCGTCAACATAGTAAAATATTTCCTAACCTTTTTTACGATGTATATTTTCTTTTGTTAACTCTTTACATTGTACTTTTAGATGTTGAATTTACACTCAAACACTTTAGGCTTGTATTAGAAAATAATGAAAATCAGGAAAGTCCACTGGAAGATGACGATGAAAGAACCGAATGTCAAAAAGATATATTGAACTCATCGAATGATTTTGCTCGCATTGATCAAGAACATTTAGAAATAGCACCTTATTATGGAGTCAGAGAATTTCTTGTTTTGGTTCCGGGAAAAAGACATTCTATTATAGAAGAGACACGTATGAAGATTTTATTAAGTTCCATTACAATTGCTGCTAATAATACGAATTGGTAATTGTATTAAAATCAATGTTCGACATACACACTTCAACAAAATTATATTAATTTATTATAATATTTTAGCGAAGTACCTATCTTCGTGCAAGTGCAAGAATCATGGCAAAAAATGTATCTTGGTACAAGCGTCGGCAGAGGCAGTTCGGTTAACTTCGAGATGGTACATCTGAAGAAGATACCACCGCATTGTAAATATCTTACTGGTGAGTACACATTTCAAAGTTTTATTTAAATAATTATTGATAGAGTAAAATTATATCCTTTGTAATAGCATTTTAGATTATTAAATTTATTTATACAAGTTTACTTTAAGTATACGCTATTATTTTACAGATGTAGATTATTTGCAGGTTTACTTGCCTTATTTAAACAGAAGATCACAGAAGGCTGTGGTGTGAGGTTAGATCCAGTATTAGTTTCAGTAAGATTTTCTTATTTATTGAGGGATTGGACATGCAGTACTTGGACACAGCAGCCCCCTGATTTTGACTTCATGCAAGGAGAGACGCTTGGAGTAGCTGAATTAGGAAAGCTTCCATTTGGGGCAACTTTTGATCCTATTGGGTAAGATATCCAGAGTCGTAGAAAATCTTTTTCTAACTAAATAGAAATAATCTATTATTGAATTTGTTATACATTTATAGGGAACTTCATTTGTATACCACATGGCCTATAATGTCAGAGCATGTTGTAGTAGATAGTGAAGGATTCACTGACTTAGAACCACAGTTAGCACCAGAGTGGTCCGTTCAAGTTACAATGGTACCTTCACCTGCTTGCTTACTTGGAGATTATTTAACAGATTTTCTACATCTTTGTAATGATCAGAGAGGTATGGTTGATTTGTTAGGCGATAACGCTATGTTTCTTGGCGACGACGAGAACAATTTGAGTGCTGC